AAATATTCGGGAAAAATTATTCGTATGTCATCTCGGAAATAATGAGTCACATTTCCTGTTTTCTAGATACCAGCGGAAAACACTTCAGAAGTGTATTAAAGATCAAAACAAATGGCATTCAAACCGTTAAATCTCTCTAAATCATTTTGGTTTATGAACTTGTTCTTAAATATTGTTTTATTTACTCTTCTTGTTCGGAATAACCGAGTGGCACCACATACACTGGTAGTTGGTTATAGGTTCGCGCTTCATCAGTGGGCTTGTTATCTTGAGTTTTCGGGTTTGCTTTACATGTAACTCTAAATAGGAGTGAATCAGCCAGTTTTCAAAAAGAAAGTTTTCTATGAAGCAAAGCAATGCCGATCAGTTTTTGCGCCCGAGGCAAACCTCATACCTAGCGCCCGATTCAACGTTAATCACAAAAAAATTCTACGGGTTTTTAATTTTATGAGTTTATTTTGTTGTCCCCAAGGTCAGCGCCCGGGCACATGCCACCTTCGTATCCCTTAGTTACGCTGCTGCCCGGGAGATCCTTGTCAGATTGCACACATTGCCACACAAATTGTTCAATCAATCCTACTCTTCTTGTTCGCTTATTTTGAACATATAAGTACTGTACGTACACTGCTTGCCATTAAAAATGCTACACTAAGAAGGAAAGCAAATAGCAAAATCATATTTATTGTATTGTACCGTAAAGTACATATAGAGTAATGGGAGGAATACATGATTAAATTGACAGGTAATTTTGAGTTACAGAGCATGCAGAAATCAGTACTCAGAGCAGCCGTCTCTGGCAGCAATAACAGCTGTAATCCGGCTGGGCTTCGAGTCGAACAGATTTTGGATTGCAGGTACGGGTACAGCAGTCCATGCGGTTACAACTCTCTGCCAGAGTTTATATATCGTACTGGTTGGCAAGTGGTGGTGTGCCCGTTTTTCGGCATCATTGACCAGACGTTTTCAATTGGTGACAGATCAGGAGAATGTGCTTGCCAAGGCAGCAGTCGAACATCCTCTGTATACAGAAAGTTCAGGACAGTGTGGTCGTGCATTGTCCTGTTGAAAAGTAGCGTGACGGAAGCTTCGAACATAGAGCACAGCGACGGGCCTTAACACATCAGAAATGTAACGGCGGCTATCCAAATTGCCGGATAGGATGATGCAAAGAAGAGGTGACTGGAATGTGTACCCAATGCACCCCATACCATCACTCCAGGTGCTGGGAAATGTAAAAAAAAAAAATTGGGGAGGGGAATAATATAGATATTAGTGTGTATGGTGGGCACAATTTTGTTCACTCTATTTAAAACTTAATAACGCCTGTGTTTTTTGTCGAAAATTTCTGAAATTTTGCATGGAGGTTTGTTTATTAGAGGAATTGATGCTACTACATTTTGGTGATTAAAGATCGAGGGGTGGGAAAATAGAAGGGGTCGTGTGTGGTATCTCCAATAGGGTCGGATTTAATGACGATTATACTCGTTATTAGAATTTACAAATTTTTATAAAACCCGTCCCTATCCTGAAAATTAAACTTTTTGCCATTTTATAATATGGTAATTAAAAATATAAAATTTTTTGTAAAAGATCTGATAACAGATAGCGCCACACATGCAGTTTTAAATGTTGCCGGAAGAGTTACCATTTGGCCGATCCCAACACGTGGGTACAAAAACAGATACCGAGAATTCTGCGCGACTGATAAGAAAAATACAGTAGATCCCCTTAACACGGTAGATACGTTCCGTTTTATATGAATTCCGTGTTTTACGAGTCACTTAAATACATGAGCCAATCACAGCGCGGCATGTGTGCAGTTTAGGGACTACGGCTGTTTGAAAGGTTTTCTTCCATAAAATTAATCGATTCTAGACTAATTTGACGCAACATTTCCAAAACACGTATAATTTTTTGGGAATAATCCATATAAACTATGCTATAAACAAAAAAATGTAGGATTACTTACCGAGTGTGCACCGTTCGACAACGTCATTGCTTAAGCTTGTTTTCGTTGCGGAGCGGCGTATCGAACGACGGGCGCGTGTTTCCCGATAAGTTATTTTTTCTGCGAAAAATTCGCTGAACTTTGGAGACATCATTAATATAAATATAATTTTTATGGCCGTTAAATAATAAATCGTTTTTAGTAGATCCGCTGCTCGTTTAAACTCAACGGTTTGTGCAATATCCGCTATTGGTCTGCCATATCCGCTATTGGTCTGCTCATGTCGCCAATCCTGTCGCGACATGAGTCGGTGATGACATTTTACCGTATTATACGAGTTTCTTTTAGCGTGTTTATACGAACACGATCGCAATTTTTTCTCCGTGTTATACGAATCGGTATTATATGAACCCGTGTTATAAAGGGGGGTCTACTGTATAACAGATAAACAGACTTTATTTTCATATTCAGCTTGATATGTAACCTATCACAAGAAACAAGAACTTAAATAATGTACCAGTTTCATAAGAAAGAATGAAAATAATGGAAAAAATTAAGTTATTGCCTAATTTAAATATGAAGGACGTAGAAGGGATTAATCACCAGCCATTCTGACAAATTAGGAAAATATTAATCTCTGTCTACGGGATTAATATTTTTTTTAATTTGTCAGAATCTACTACAGGTATACCTCGAGTTACGTCGTTCTCGATTATACGTCGTTTGTCAAAAAATATATGAAAAAATAAAAATCAAGTTTAAGTCATTTTATTCGACTTTACGTCCGTCCGCCACAAATATTGAAGTCGTAATATCACTAGAAAAGCGTTAAAGCACATAAAATCATATTAAAATACGTACTGTACATTTACAGTAAATGTTGGTAATATAATCATCATAAATCCTAGAGAACGAAACATGAAAACATCTGTGTTTCTATGTTGTCGTCTTATTTAGCGGTCTTTAAGCCGAGCCGTGGAAAACACCAATATTGAGCACTTAAAGACCAAGGTCCTAGAATATATTCTAGGACCTTGGTCTTTAAGTGCTCGATATTGGTGTTTTCCACGGTAGCTCCAATATCTACCGTTTGGCGTCGTTGTCAGCGCCACTCGATATTGGTAAATTTAATATAAATTAGTTTATTTTCTACTGTCGCGAGATAATTTTAATAATTGTATTTGTTATTTAACCTTATAAAATCATCTTATTTTATAATGTCTTAGAGCAAACCACATTCACAAATAAAGAGTCCGCGAGTACTGTAAACATCGCCAAATTGTAAACATGTAGCCTACATTTACAAGTATATACTGTACGTACTGTACATGAATTCGTAAATTTAGAATACTTTTTTGTGTACTATATTAAAAACTAAAATTTATTTGTTTGTAAGCTTACAATAGATTCTTATTAACCATATGTTATTAAAAATGCATTTATAAATAAAATACAGAACTGGGAATAGTTATTTGTGGTTTAGCCTAGTGACAAGTAAATTCGGAGACAAGTAAATTAAGTCGCCTCTCCTGGAACCAATTACCGACGAAAGGCTAGGTATACCTGTATTTAAATTGGAAAATGGCAATTTTATTCAGTATACAAATTATTTCAAAAATAGAAATTATATAAAATAATTAACATTCTGGAAAAAGATTTTGAAAGTTTCCTAGAAGCTCTCTATTCTCAGATACCAAGGAATGTTAGAATAAAAAGTGATTTTTCTATAGTATTAATATTTCTCAGAATAATAATGGAACCGATATGCTGAATCTTAAATGTGTATCACTCCGCCTCTGATGTTAAACAACGAAGCTATTCAATATATAAGAAATCCCACCACTGAATCACATCACATTGAATAAAATAGAATAAAAACTGACGTCGATGAATCATAAAATATATTAGATATTCGATTTTATTCTGTTCAAAAACATGGAAATAAAAAAAATCAAAGCAATTTTACCGTATGTTGAAATCAAATCCTGTGATATTGAAACAGCTATTTCAATAACGTCACCAATCGTATAATTGAATCATTTTTACTAGAAAAACGATGTTAAATTAATATAATTGACCAATAAAATTTTGGTGTTTTATAGAAAATTTATTTCAATGCCTCTATCTTTAAGAAATGAACAATTTTAATTATTTTTAACTAAAAGATTATATGATATGATAAATAAATAATGTTTATCGAAAATCGATGGATAATTAAATATTTTTTGTTTATTTTCGGAAAATTTTATTATAAATCTTTCTGTATGCATATGTTTGTTCAGAGTTTGCATGCAAACATCCGCTTTCGTACATGAAAACACATCTTTGTAGTGAATGTAATTAGTTAGGTTGCAGTTAAAGTGGAAATGATTGAAGAAAATGAAATACTGGAATATTTATCATTTAGGATTTTATTTAATTTACATTCTAAATAAAGGTTTGTATATTTTCCTTATACTGTAGTTTTTCCTTATAAAAATAGCGTGTTTCTGTACATTTAACTACTGTATTTCCTCTTATAGTTAATTTTTCTATGCATAGTCGCATTTAAATTCAATGAATTTTTTCTAATTGCTTATTTATAATTCAAAATTAAACCAAATAATAAGAAAAGAAAACAAAAAAAATCATTTCATACTTTATTCTTTAATCAATAAAAAATAATTAAGATTAAATTTAATTTATATATTACAAAAATTGAATTAAAACATTGTCGACAGCTAATGAAAAATTTACTAAAAAACAATTTTCGTAAAATTCATATTTTCCAAAACAAAAAAGAAAGTTATAACTAGTTTTTAAAACTAAATTTTAAAATAATTATATGGCTAAGTGAAAAATGCAATTATATTTTTCTAATTAAAATTATGATATTATATTATGTTTGACCAGTATTTGACTTCATATTTAATAAATTAATTGTAAGTTACTAACTAAGCTTACCTACTTTTAAATATGCAAATAAATTTTATAGCGTAATATAAGTATTTAATACCATATTTTAAAAAAATGCATAGACCTTTTTCTTGTATACCTGTATTTAGATTTTATGATGGTATCCTACGGGAACTGTGACAGAAGAGTAGAATCAAATTGTGCAAAATCGAGAAGCTGCCCCTCATCCAGTGCACCGGTACGTGTCATATATATAACTTCGAAGTGTCCTAGTTGTGCATCTCCACCGATAAGTTGCCCTTCTCCATCGGTAAGTTGCCTATCGCCATCGATAAGTTGCCCTCCTTCTTATCCATCATATTATCCTCCTCCGTCTTCTCCGTGTCCACCATGTCCAGTTGCTTCACCTTATCCAGTTTCCCCATGTCCTGCTCCTCCGCCTTGTCCAGCATGTCCAGCTCCTCCTCCTTGTCCAGCGTGTCCTCCTCCACCTCCGCCACCTCCTCCTCCTCCGCCACCTCCTCCTCCTCCACCACCACCTCCACCACCACCGCCACCTCCTCCTCCACCACCACCACCAGCTAGAAGAGTTTTACACCTAAAGGAAGATTTCAATCACACGAAGAAAATTTTAAATAATGGCACTAGAACGACCCCCAAAAGATATCGGATCATCAAACCAAAGCCATTTTCAAACTCTTCTTTATCGAATGTCAAAGAAACTGACAAGAAAAACTCGTCTTCATCGTTTGTAAAAGTGAAAAAGTATGTCAGGAGACCACGACGAACAAGACGTTATTATACAAGACGTTATTATTTTAGACAATTCAGAATTAATTAAAAGAAAGATTTTTAACTTAATATGTTATTGTTATTTTGAAAATAATCTGTATTAGATACATTTAATATATGAAATAAAATTTATGTAAATAAAAGTAGCTATGCTAGTTTACTTTAAAAAAGTCTTTAAATGAGGATAATATTAAATAATTATATATATAACTAAACCCGACATGTATTAATAATCAAACGACACCGCCAGATTTTAATCGGGCTTCCCTTCTATTTTTTACTCTCCTTCCTGTCGGCACCAAGAGGGTCTTTTTTTTAGGCCCATTGTGGGTTCGGCCCATAACGGAGCGGCCGAGAGGTGAGAAGTGGAGCCCAATATATTCAGGACAGACCACTACACGAAAGATTTTAATCGTGTTATGACAAGGCGACCCTCTATATACAAGTACAGTATATACATAATTAAAGTTTCTCTATTCAGAGCTTTCTATAACTGAACCAATAAGCAGATTGACACCAAAATTTGTACACAGACAATGCAAAGGATGCAGATAAGGATTTTGCGAAATAAAAAATTTTTAAAAATTTTGTTCAACTTCTGCTAGGGAACGCTTTACAGGAAAATACTGATCCTGTACAATATTTACAGTTACAATATTTTCGTTATAAACCATATTCTTTAAATTTCCTCACGACCAGAAATCACACGGATTCAGATCCATTCATTATTCTCACTGACTTTATTCGTAATGTTTAAAGTAGCAGATTAAAATGTCACTTTAAGATACCTTTATTATTTACTGTGTTTTGTTTCTTGTATTTTCCATTGTTCCCAAACAGTCCTCTCCCTAGAATGAAAACAATTTTTCCTAGAAATCTCCTAAATTTTCTCATAAGATTTAAATGAAACTTATTACAATAGCAAGACAACCACCTGGAAACAAAGAACGAGTAGCTCACTTTTCCATCATATAATACAGTCGACCCCCTATAAGATATAGATACGTTCCAATTTATTAGAAATCCGATTTCTTACAAGTCGTTCCAATCACAGCCCGACACGTGTCAAGTTTACGGACTACGGCTGATTGAAAGGTTTTCTTCCATAAAATTAATCGATTCTACACTAATCCGACTCAACATTTCCAAAATACGTATATTTTTTCGTAGTTTTATAGGAATCGTAATTATAGAGACCGTAATTATAGGGGGGTCGACTGTAGGTTATATGATGGAAAAGTGAGCTCAAAGTGCTCGCTCAAGCAAACAGTAATGCTTCTTACACAATAGTAAGAATTCTACTAAAATTAATACTAGTAAAACATGGGTCTACGCCTCGTTATTAAAGGGAAAGCTCGGTTATCGAGGCCATGCCGTCGCCTCGAAGGAACAAAAATAATAGCTTCACCTTTATACCATTACAAAGGTATTGCTCCTTTCGATTTCAATACTTCAATACATAAAGAGTAACCTGTAATTGCACTATTTGCACTCCAAACGAATCCTCCAACTCAAGCAACTACAACTTTTAATTACCACTTGATGCTGTTTCTTCGTTATCAGATTTCTTACTTCGATTTTTAAATTTCTTAGTAGCACAGTAGCAGCCAGCAAAAATGCTGTGGTTTACACTCCTCGATCCTCGCGCCTTGACACAAAATGAAAGATGAAATAAAACTCTCAAAGCATGCCGAATGTCTCCAATTGAACTTTCGGTATTGGCCGAAACTGACTTTAAAATCTTTTCGGTTGTTTCAGTCTGATCTTAGCTGGATAGGTAAAACCACTCGATAATAACCCCGCGTTTCTTTATGCAGCGAGAGTGTAGCGAACGTCACAAGCAGTATTGGCCAATTAGAAACCAATTTCAGTGTGTTCGCTGTAATGCGCTGCATAAAGAAACGCAGCCTAAGTGAGACAGACTTTTCCCACTTGTGGAGAAGAAATGATTCAGAAGAGATTGTTCTTAACCAGCTGTGGTGTTGTTATCGTGGTCTTTTGGTTATGGTAAAAATACCATGACTATCAGAATACAAATACTATATATTTTTATTCTGTAGTTGTCCATCCTATATATATATAAAATACTGTATCTTAAAATCGATAACCAAAGAAAAAACCAAAATAGAAACGGCAACGCCTGAAATCGACAAATCTTCGTGAAATTTTTGAACAAGTGAATGAAGACAAGGGAGTTGGGACGAGGAGGACGCGAAGCAACCGGAAGTTGGGTTGGCCGAGTGGAGAGAAAACTTTCTTCTCGGTCAACCCCAACTCCCGGTTGCTACGCCTCCTCCCAACTCTCAAGAGAGATGGAAGGTTCGGTCATCCACCCTGCGGAAGGTTGAGTGAGAGAAGTGAAGGGAGTATCTGTGATTTGAAGGTGGCTGGTCTCTCACACGGGTTGAATCGCTATGAAATTTTTGTTATGAATAATCTATATTGGGTACAAGTGGGCCAAGCTCGTAGGGCCAGAGAAGCAAACGATGTAACCATGGAATCAAAATGTTATCTGTGAACAGATCAAAAACCCGTGATGTTCAAAACCGATTGAAAAAAGGGTGTTTTGTTCTGGAATCTGAAGATTAGAATCTATGTTCGATTTTTGATGGAGAAAACCTGAGTCTTGTTTGTTTTGAATAAAAACTTATTTTTACAATTAATTCGCGTGGATTGCATTTCGAAAATGATCTGAATGCTCACTCGGAATTAGACAAATGAAAATATATAGAAGAGGGACTGAAGAGGGACTTAAATTACAATTGAGTCCGAAATGCATATGGCAAACCAATAAAAGAAGTTCATAACCTGAATGCTGTATATGATAGTCTACCGAACTGAAAATCGGATTAAAGAGACAAATACACAACGAAAATAGCAGCAGCCATAAGTGATTTTCTAAGAAAATATATAGGTTATATTATTATAATTTTTTGTTATGAATTGTCTATATTCGAAGCACGTGGGCGTCACTCGCTTCGCCCACGTGTTCTCTACTAGTAGGCGGAGAGGAGAATCCCTCTCGTTAATCATATTACGTAATTTGCTTTAAACATAGGCGGTTAACATGCCATCTTATATTAAATTTCATAATTAGAATTGATTGATTTAAAATATTCCTGAAGATTGGTCCAAATCGGGACTCAAAACTACAACTACTTACCTGCATCTGCACAAAATTATCAAAGTGGTCTCTTGTACTGTGTCTATATCGGTTCGTCCCTCATCTGTTAACCATTCGGACCTGGCTTTATATAACCACGTTCAATGGTAGAAAAGTCGAACGATCAAGTTACCAGTCCATCGTTCTGCGGATCCAGATGGGTCGAAAAACCAATTTTTCGGGGAGTGGTCAGTCCCCGAAAAATATGTCGGGCCATCTCTCATCATACTGCCACTCCATTGTGAGCGTGGCTTAACGAATAATGGACTGGGTTAAAAAGGCCCTCTTAGTATACACAAAGAAAATTGTTTAAAATATGCAACATGAACTAAAAGGAAAATTTTACGAAGATTAGTATATATTTACTAAATGCATTATAAAATAAAAAATTCAGCATTAGCTCTTTTCATTAAAAAACATGCACTTTAAATTTGTTCCAATTTTAAAATATTTTTAAATATACAGTAAGATAGTATCAATGTTGGATCCCATTCAAAATATTCACTCTTAATGTATATACTAATGATTAATATAGGTTTGGAAGAGAAAAATATTTTTAGCATTTAAATCTTCCCAACTTTAGTGATTTGAAAAGGATAAGATTTAAAATACCTTAAAATTTTTTTTATTTTCTAGTTTTCAACTGGTATAAACATTTTTAAATATTATATAATTCATGTATAAACTTGAATTAACATTACTTAATTTACAAATTTAAAATTACAACTTATTGTAACTTTAAACATTTCATATCTTAATAAATTATACTTAACACATTTATATTTTCTAGAAGAATAACTCTTCTAACAAAGATTAGAAGTAATAATACATAACTTTGTAATATCTTACTAAAAAATCACTTATACATCACTTTTTATATATAAAATTAGAGTAATTTAACCATAATAAAAAAATAATTCAATTAATGAGTTTATCAACATTATAATCACAGTTTATATCTGAAAATTCAGATGGATTTTATAAACATCAAAATTTTTAAAAATTTAAGTTTTAAAAAATGTGCTTGTCTGGTTGGTCCACTGCAACACTAACAACTCTCCAGTAATTTGTCAATTATATATTTACAATCTTGTATGTCGAACTGTTTGATTATAAAAATGTCTTTATAATTTAGAATCTACAGATAATTATATAATATCTCATTAAAACATAATTACTAATGCAAAGGCGGTATAAAACAAACCACACGGATAAGCAATCAACACTTGTTGGCATTGGTCTAATTTTAAAACTGTTAGGAAGAGTTTAGATGATGACTTGGCACTCCACCAAACAACTGAACTTGACATAAATAAACCGCAGACACCTTTCAGTGGGAACATCAGAGAGAAAAAGCATAATAGAACCATAGGCAGCAAACAATATCCCAATATAGTGATTGTACATCCTAGAGTAATCTCATAGATGCTCATTAAGTTTAACAAACAATACATGCAAACAGAGGAGATGAATCCTAATCCATAGATATAACCAAAGTACATTCTTCCTTGTAAGAGTAACAGAAATCCCATAGTTAAGCATAATAGAAATGGACCAGATATATCTGCTTCTTTTACTAATTTTCCATCTTTGTTCTCTTGGAGGCTGGCTTGAAAAGTCTTCCTAATAATATCTTCCAAATCTAAGCCCAGTTCTTCCAGGAGAGGTGGTTCTTTATCGAAATTTTGTGGGGGTCGAGGCGCTTCGGTGAAGAAACGACGACGAAGTTCGTCAGTCGAAGTAGAAATGTGAGAAACAGCTTCACTTTTGACGTTTTCGTCTTTATCGTTACCTTCCATAACTCACCCCTCTCAAGTCATGCCTAAATCAACTTTCCATGTGACCTCTAACGGTATAAAATGAAATGTTTTAATTTGAAGATTTATTTATTTTAATTTACTTTTTTATGTTTTATTATTATTATTATTTTAAAAAATTCATTTAAATTTAAAAAACTATAAAAGTATTAACATTTTAAGTATTAAACAAGAATTAGCCTTCCATTTTTATAATATTTATTTGATGAATATTCTAAAAATGAATATAAATTAATAACTTTAGAAAAATATTAAGCAATAAATTTACAGTTTATAAATATTTTATGTAAGTTTGTATAACCATATTTAAATTTCGAAAATAATCTTTCTAAATGGCGGGAAAATTTAGACAACGACAACATGGCCTTGAACGTGAGAAGTCGTGTTCTTAAATTTTTTCAACTCAATGGGCTAATTTTGAGGAGGTAATCCTACTTTTCTGATTTAATTTAATTTTATTTTATGAGAATTATTGTATCGTGCAGTAATTTCAGACAGAATATAAAATAATATTACTTTTTAAAGGTTGTCAAGCTTGTTTAATATCAAGTCATGAGAACACGTGTCATAAAAAAACAAGAAATACGAGAACAAAATATGCTTGTTAGAAAGTTAACAACTAGTAAGAAATATACCGATAATAATAAATAAATAGTACAAATATACTGAAAACTTTACTAATTGAACTTAGTATTAAGTAAATAGATGACGATTTCAGGTTCTTAAGATGCTAGCTTCATTTCAGATGAAGAAAGTACTGAGTACTGTATTAAGACATTGGCTGCGTTCATTAGAGTCAACAGTTCTAACTGAGCAAATGTGTTTCAGTCGGTAACTGTTACATCAGTCAAACGATGAGTGACTATGCGCTGGAACAAAAAGCAGCTACCATTGGTCAGTTTCAGGTAGTGATAGGTATCATAAAAGACGCTACTAAATGTGACATCAAAATAGCAAACACGTTCCAAAACAGTGCTACTGTAAAGGGTGTTTGGCAGAAAAGTACTCAATAGCTCCAGAACTGTTGAGTTTGCCAAACTCATCCATTGATCTACTGCCTTTTGACAGATTTGATTTTTTTCATTATTCTGTGTAAAATCAGTTTCGAAAGACTGGATAAGTCCAGATTGTTTTGGGAAAGTTTTGCTAATGATCTTGACAGGTATCTAATTTCAATAGGTTATAACTGCAGAAATCTTGCTAAAAGCTTGATCAATTAATACTGTATTATTGCTAATCATTATTATATGATAGTATAAAATATATATAAAGTATGGTTTTGTTTCATGCATGTGCTTACACAATTGTGTATAAGCATGTATTGCATAAAATGAAGTTCTACATAAATTTATGCTTTACCTAAGGTTATCAGATTTCAATGACTGGATTAATGGACACTTAAAAATGATTAATGCTACCATTTTTCAACTTTTATTCCACCCCTTTCCACTCCAAAAAACTAAAATTGAATGATATTATTTTGGTTAATAATTAAACATTATATTTTTTAGATCTTGATTTAAAAATTAGTTTTCATAGTGACTTTAAATATTTGCACATTTTTGTTTAATTTAGAATTTAAAATATTTAATGGTAAATCATAGTGTTTTATGAGAAAGGGCATAAGAAAAGGAATACACCTGTGCAAAAGTCCACCACTGCCATTATGAATACAAACAATACAAACTTTAAAAAATGAAAATAAAGGATTGTTCTTTGAAATAGTCCACAAATAATCCACAAATAGTCCTTTGTGCTATCATCTGGGATTACTTGGGCAGAGCAAAAATTTATTCAAGACTTAAAGAATCCTTTAGAATTAGGACAAACATTAAAATGTTCTAATTATGTTTTTCCTGTAATGAATAAGTTTAATTCAACATTTTAGCTTTCTATTTTTTTGATTTTAATGATTTCAGTACAAAATAGTACCAAATCATTAAAATGAAATATTATTAAAAGGTATGTGAAACAGCTGCTGCTCTGAGATAATGATTCTCTTGTCAGAGTATTTAGAAGATTGGGATGTAGAAAGTTTAATATGATCTCACAAAAGAGAAAATATTTTTCAGCAAACTGTGACATTTTGACTCACTACTAAAAATATTGATCCTAGTCTTAATTGAGAAGTATATGCCAGTTAACTGTAAGGACAATCCTATGATATTAAAAATCAGTATATAAATTAATATGATATTTCTCATTGATTGGATGCTGGTTTCTTATCTGTGTTAAATGCTTATTTCAGATAACCAATCATTTAAATTTACCACAGAGAAACGTTTTCATACTTTAGGACAGCTTCAGCTTCTTGACGAATATCAGTCACTGTTCAAACTAAATTAAACTTTCAAAGGTAAAGCTGTCCTTATAAAGGATGAAAACATTCCTTTATGGTAAATTTAAATGATTGGTTACATGAAATATGCATTTAATACAGATAATAATAATATGGTGCCCAAAACCCATGACGTGATATTTGCTGGCTTCTTGCATTTTGATTTATTTAACAACGAAAAAAATTCCTTTTGTGGATGTAATTTATAATCAATCACAAGCTTGTTACTGGCAGGGCTGGCACTACTATTTAGGCAAACTAGGCAGCTGGCTAGAGTGAAAGCTATGAAGGGGCACAAAATTTCAAGCTATGCTTTATTTATAATTCACTAAAATGTTAAATTAAATAGTGATATATGATTTAGATGTCAATTCATTTTCCTTATCCCTCATACATCACACTATTTTACTATTAAACTCTTGGCTCTTTTTTATACCTTACCGAAATTATTTGAATTTACTGCTGTTTAAAATTCAGTTAAGATAAATATTTTAAAATATTAAATTTCAGTATTTTTTTTGTAAATGAATTAATTAAAAAAGAAAATAAAAAAGATTGTTTTTAGAAGGATTACATATTGTATATTACTTTATTATTAGTAAAGCATGCCCAAATAATTTTTATTTTTTATATTTAAAATTTCATTTTTAAAAATATTCAACTAGTGAAATAAGGGAAACACATGTAAACTTTGCATAGGATGCAAAATAACCTGGTACTGATGATTGGTTATACTTAAATGAAATAAAGAAGTATTTTTCCCCTGATTAATTATTAAATTATTAATTAAATTTTATATTTGTTACAATAGAGTGACAACAGATGCTAGATCAAAGTTAAGAATCTCAGTTTGATGGTGTTTATTTTCAGTAAATTAAACACCATCAGATTAAAGATGGAATGCTAACCCCACTTTGATTTTTTCCATGTTTATACATGGAAAAAGCAAAGAAGAAAAATACCATTAAATGGCAAGCTGATACCTTAATTTCTCTGTCATATGGCCTTCAAATTATGAATTTAACTTTGCATTGCTTTAACTGTATTACATGGTTCCTGTGAGGATCTCACTTATTTTTTATATTTTTAAAATATAATTTTATCTACACAATTATTCTGCTAACCTAAATTTATATTTATTTTCAATTTTTATGTAACTATATCTTTTTACATTTGAAATTCTATTGAAATTTTATATTTTATTAATTTATTATTAATGTTTTATTATCTAATTTCAGTGAAGCTAGTAAATACCTTACTGAATTCTTAAAAGATTTTGAAGAAAAAGATATTTTGAAATGTTTAGAAAAAATTATTACTATAATTCAGAGACAGCCATTGGATGCAGAGTTTGTTACAAAAGAATTAGTTGAGTTAGCCATAAAAGAATGTTCAGATATTGATGAAGATGGACAAAAAGATTATTTTAGTGTTATTGATGCATTTTCTTTTCCTGCCTTCATATATGAGTAAGTGTTTCATTTGAATATTGTATAAAATAAAAAATTATTAAACTATTTTTATAAATCAATTTATTATAAAATGAATTTATAATGAGATTATATTAATAGATAATAATATTCATGGAACTCATTATCATATAATTTTTAAAAACTGATAAAAAAGAATGAAAATAATTTTGTAGGTTAGGTCAGAACATGTTATGTCAATTTTTTAGTGATACATGTCATTGTAGTTTAAATTTTCATATGAATATTATTAGTTTTGTATGACACTTTAAGTTTGCATTAAACTACACACGTTAGACTCTATTTCAACTGAAAATGTGATTAACCAATATAAAAGATCATAAGCATTAGACAAACATGGCTCAATAACTGGTCAGAACTTAATTTATGCACATATAGGAAATCCTTGTTAATTCAAACTCAGATACTTTGAAATTTTGTTAGTTTGTAACTGTGTTTTTGTCCCAGCCAGGAATATAGAGATGTACTATATATGTTAAGGAAGTCAGTTAGTTTGAAATATGACTACTTTCAAAATTTGAAAATTGATAATTCTGTCTGAACTGTCTTATGCATATGTTAACTTGTTTGTTTAGATTGAAGTGCCTCCAAGCTATAAGAGAATAATAGACCAAGAACAACTCTAATCTGGTACATATAAAAAGTGTGACTCGCATTAACCAATTAACCGGAGTGTCTATGTAATTAACATTTGCGAATGTTTTTGTAGCCCCTTCTGGACTCTTCCTCGGGCTTCTTTTTTATTCATAACAAGCTGGCAGTTAACATGGTAATCGATTTGGGATACCATACATGCATGCGTTCTCCTTAAGATGTTTAAATAATATTGAACAATACAATGAGTTCAAATGCGCATGAATTCCACTTTAAATATGAATGCAAATTAAATATTATTGTCTAGCACAGGAGTTCCCAATCTTTTTTATACTGTGACTTCCTTTACTGGCTGTAATTTTTTTGCGACGCCCTTCTAAAAGAAGATACCTGCATGTAGCTCTAACAGACATTAAAATTACTTCATTATTCAAAGAAAACTCCAAAGAATATAGAATCTTAATAATCGGGGTTGAAGTTTTGAAATCGCTACTCTCATTTCTTTTTCTAAATTTATTTGTGACCTGATTACTGCAACTGCAGAAAAACCAGTTTCACACAAGTATGACATAGTAAATGGTAAAAGAACCTTCAAAGTTGTAGTACTGATAGTAGGATATTCTTGGGATACATTGCTCCAAAATTGAAATAGTTTGTCTTTATCGAATTGTAGTTTTAGGCTCATATCACAAGATAGTTCTAACAGCTGTTCTTCTTCGACTGTTGAAAGTGTAGATGGGAGTGGGATCGATTGGAATGGGTCTCTAATCCAGTCATATTGATCTAGATTCTTTGGAAAATATGTATCAGAATGGGTGCTTAGTGTTGATAAGTGTTGGATAAATATTGAGTGCAAACTTGGCTCCAGATTTTGAATAGATTTTTCTTGCAGAAAGCCATTTAAAACAGATAAACAGTCAGTATTTCCTTGCTCCTCTTCTATTTTTCTTTCCCACAACAGCAACTTTTTTTAAATGCTGCAATTTTATCAGCCAGTTGCAGTATATGCGTTTTGTTTCCCCTGCAGCGATTATTAAGGACATTTAATTTCTCAAACTGGCAAAGATATGCCAGTTTTATTAAGAAGTCAGTATCTTTAAACTTTTCTGCGTCACGATACGATTCTATCAATAAATACATGTACAACTCATGTTTTAATTCATATACATGTGAGAGTACGTTACCTCTTGACAACCAACGAGAGTTACAGTAATAAAGTAAAGGTGTATGTTCGGCACCCAAAACTTCACAAAGCTTTCGGAAAAATCTTGCCTTCACGGGTCTTGTTTTTATAAAGTTTACCACTTTAATAATTATATCAATCACAAGATTTAATTCAGGTGAAATATTTTTTGTAGCCAGGGCCTCCCTATGAATGATGCAATGTGTCCATTTTGCATTTGGTGCCTTAGTTTTAATGAGAGCTTGAAGTCCTCCATACTGCCCTGACATCATGTGAGCTCCATCCGTACACACACCGACACAGTTATCCCATTGAATGTTATTTTCTTTCATGTATGAATCTATGATCGCAAACAAATTACTAGCCTTCCCAGTATCAGTCATTTCTTTGCAAAATAACAAGTCCTCACATATATTTGCTTCTTCCATGTACTGCACGTAACATATTAATTGAGCGTTGTTATTACTGTCTGCCGCTTCATCCAGTTGAATGGCAAATAAACCAGAAAGTTTTTCCACAGTTTGCTCATTAATGTCTTCAGCTATGTCATGAATGCGACGACTAATCGTATTGTTAGAAAGAGGAATATTTTTTATTTCTTTAGCCGCCGATTCTCCAATCATCACTGATACCATATCAATTGCTGCAGGTAAAATAAGATCTTCAGCAATTGTGTGTGGTTTCTTGCATTTGGCAATACGGTGAGCGACCTTATAAGAGGCAAGCAGTGCTTTGGAAGGAATAGATGCTCTGGAAAAAAGGATGTTGACTGATGTTTCAGTTCTCGCAATTTTCTTGAAAAAAAATCTCATGGTTTTCCTTGTAAATTACTGTGAATTGTTTCTAAATGACGTTTCAATATATTAGGAAGCATACTTTCAGCTGCCAGCACCTTATGACAAACAACACATTGGGGATAGTTCCACATTTCCTTTGCTAACGTATGTAAATCCAAAATCTAAATATTGGTCATCATATTTTCTGTACTTTTTTCATTTTTCTACAGTTTCCTTTGTACTCTTTCCTGAGTCTTCAACATGTACAGTAGAACCTCCATTATCCGGACCTCCATTATCCGGATTTTCGATTATCCGGATTGTTCAAAATAAACAAAAATTTTACGAATTTGCTGATTTGCACTTGGCGAATTACGGCACTGTTTATGTACGTGATGGAATGCACAACTTTTTTTGTTTCAACAACGTCTCACCCACACAGTGGTCGTAAACTCTTAAATATATTTTACGTAGTAATAAAAATATAACTTGACATACGTATTTATAAATAATTTATATTCAAATTACATCATTTCTATGACCAAGGGCGGCGTAAGGCATGGACGACGTGGGCCACCGCCTATGCCTGGCGGTTTGAAGGGCCTCGCGCCTCGAAGGTTTATGCATTACTTAAAAGCCGCGAACGCGACGAAAAAATTTTACTCGTCATAAAACGATAAATAGTTTGTCAAATTTTTATTCATAAAAGTGTAGTTTCGACTGCTTTTTATTTTATAAAATCCGTCTTCTTGCGCCACCAGAGGGCCTTTTAAACAATAGGTAGTCTGTTAGCGTTGGCCAGCAGTAGTCCAAATTTAATACGAACGTTTGTATCTTGAAAATTTGATCACGATTTAAATACAGTATTTACTTTTAATATTACAACCGGTATGTCATCGAAAAGAGAACGTCTTGTATTATCATTAAAAGACAAAGTGTTTGTTTCGATTATCCGGATTTTTCCTTATCCGGACTACCTTCATCCCCAATTAGTCCGGATAATCGAGGTTCTACTGTATTTATTTGAATAAAGTTATCCATTTTACAATGTGCAATTTAAATACAACACACTTGAAATCAAAACACTGATTCATCAATGTTTGTAATCGACCAAAATAAAAGACTGAACGAAAGAGCGGGAAATTGGAGGAGCAGGGTGATGAGACGCATGCACCGCGCACTCACTCATTACGTAGCATACAGGCGATCGGTGGATATCGTGTCACGACTTCCCTATGATAGCGCCATGACGCCCCAGGGTTTCGCGGCACACAGTTTGGGAAGGCTGGTCTGGTAGAACCTGCAATGCCATCGAAAGGCATGGCAGGTTCTACTAGACCAGCCTTCTCCTCCTCCCTAAAACCTCTTCCTGGTGTGACAGGTGCGTGGTGGCCAGTTAACATCACCTCTTTGCGAAATCAGCTTATTGGGGAATAAATAACTCCTTTATGCCTTCAATTGATTCATTTGATGTGTGACAAGTGGTGCCATATTATTGAAACCATGAATCTATCTCCTCCCTAAAATCTCCCTCCTGGTGTGACAGGTTCTACTAGACAATAATAATTAATTTGCAATCATATTTAAAGTGGAATGCATGCACATTCAAACTCATTGTATTGTTCAATATTATTTAAACATCTTAAGGAGAACACATGGGTGTATGGTATCCCAAATTGATTACCATTTGTTTTATATTTGAATGTTAACTGCCAGCTTGTTTTGAATAAAAAAGAAGCCTGATTAAAATTTGCAAACGTTTTCATAGCCCAAATGGGGCTATGAAAACGTTCGCAAATGTTAATCATAGGCACTCTGGTTAATTGGTTAATTTGAGTCATGCTTTTTATATATTCATTCTGGTGTGTTGTGCAGTTAACTAATCTGGTACTTTTATAGTAACACATTTTCAGATATCACCTTATACATGGACTACCTGTTTTTTTTTCCTCTTATCTCATAAAATATGGCTGGTATTCAGGATTGAAAGATTGGGTTACAAATTGCAGATTGAGATATTTGTAGGCTCTAGGCTACTACATTTGAACAACTTACTACTTCATGGGCCACTTTAAAAATAATTTGGGCTACATTTCAAAGAATTGTGCTTTACTTTTTATATAACCTATCTGGCCACTTGTGAGGTTCTAACTGGACATATGCTGTTTTACCTACAGTTTATATTATTATTATTAATTAATGAAAATAGCATTCTGTGAGCGTATTCTTATTCTGTTTGCTTAATAAATTAAATCAATTACATGGCATTTGCATATTGTACAAAAATATGTAAATCTTGGATAATTCAAAACTTGATCATTTAAAGTTGCAATTATTTTGTGCCTTAAATTTTGAAATAACTAGGATTTCCTGTACCATGTTTTGACCAAATGCAATTTGTACTTCAGTTCTTTCCTGATCGATAGTCAGAAATGACCAGTTTTTATGAATCTGGAATTCTCTTTTTTCAACTCTGTTAACTTCCATAATAGTATTTTCTTGATTCTAATGTGCCATTGAATATAATGTGCACCCAATTTTCAAGATCTCAAAACCCAAAAAAAGTTAGCTTTTGAGTATATTGTGCATCTTTTATCCAAAATCAGCTGCAAAAAGTTAATTTTTTAAGCAGAAATAAACATTTTTTGAAAAGCATTGTATTTTCATGTTTACAGTACTTTATGAGGATCACATTTTTGAATTTATTGATTTATGAGTCCATTAGTGCATACTGATTCTCTGTACCTGATAATGATGAGGCAGCTTCTGAAATGCCAGTTATTAACAGGATGTTATTTACAATGAAAGCTAAGCAAAAACTTTCCTGAGTTGCATTTTGTTTTGAAAAACTTCTATTGCAGTTGAAATAAAAATAATATAATTTGATTTGATTTAAAATGTCTCAACTAATATGTAGTTACCACAAAATAAAACATATCAAGTTTTGAGCAATCATTCTAGACATAAGTTTTTGCATCTTGTTTTACAAACCCATTTATTATTATCATTATTTTACTCATATCTCTTTGCAAATGACAATAAATCCATCAAGACATTATGTGATATGTCTAAATTCATCAACGATATTATATTCTGAAATGCAATTTAAGACAAACTCTCAAACATTTGACATCAAAGTTTCTAAAAACATAGGTTAAAACATACATTGCAAATTCTAATGCCATAGATTAATAAGCCAATTAGATATATGTCTTTTGTAATTTTTGAGAAAAAGAAACACTAGTTAAGTGATAAAAATAAATTTTTGTTCAAAATAATACTAATATTTCCATAAAATATAAGTTTTCCAATTAAGGTTTGTAGCTCTCTTAAAATACTTATATACAAGAAAGCAATGACATTATTTTATTTCAAAAAATGTCATTATATCAAAATACATATTGACTAAAGTTCTGTAAAAGAAATTTATTAAACCTACAATTAGTAATTCATTTAATAACAATAAAGGTTTTAAAACTTGGCTGTTAAAAGCTAGAATCATTACTTGATATTTAAATAATTTTAATTCCTATCTAACATGTAATTAATCTGTAATTATTTTTTTTTAAATTGCTATTAGAATTTTTTTAACAACATTAGTAATATTTTATGTTAAAATGTACTTTTTGGAAAGTTTTTTTTTTACTAAACTTAATTCATATAGTTCTGAAAAAAAGAAATTTTTTCCACGATCAACATCAAATGGACCTAAACTCTATGGGGATGCTGATTCAAAGAGTAGTATTTTTATAGAAAGATATAAATTGATACATCAAAGAACAATAAGTCATCAGTTGTTTATGGCACCAGTGTTTGAAAATAATGGTTCTTCCCATTCACAGTCATTTTCTTTAAAATCTGTAGAATATTTATTAGGCACTACTGCTAAACAGGGAAATTTATTGGTTTTGGGCATGTTGACTCAGTTGAAAGAGGTAAGTCATTTTCTGTATTATTTTTAAACTATTTTTTAAAATTATTAATTAAATATACTTTTAAACTATTAAAAGTATTTTTAAGATTTTTATTAATCAATTTTAATTTTTTGATGATTGGTTTTTTTATTATGTTAATGCTGAAATCTGTTTCTCTTCTTTTGCTATATATCACACATATATGTAAGATAAGTTGAATGCAGTATTAGTATTAATACAGTTGCTCATAGATATAAATTTTAATTAATATTTTTAATAATGCTTATTAATATTGAGTTATCACAAGAACATTTGACATAATATATATACAGGGTGTCCAGAAAGGGTAAGTGTGGTTTAAAAGTAAAATAAATTAAAAATAAAAAATGCTCAAAGAAAGTTTTGTTTTTATTTTCAATCTATGGTTATTGGAAATTATTTACTAAAAATTATGTTGTCTAAATGGCATCCGTTATGCTCCTGGCACTCTTCTAATCTTGAGCGAAGATTTTTCAGTACACATTGACACAAAGCCTGAGATACTGATGCCATTTCTGCTGTGATATTCTGCTTTAATTGAGTTAATGTCCTCAGCTTATTTTTGTACACCCTCTATTTAATAAATCCTCATAATAAATAGTCCAGAGGACTCAGGTCTGGACTACATGGTGGCCAGTTAACATCACCTCTTTGCGAAATCAGCTTATTGGGGATAAATAACTACTTTACGGCTTCAATTGATTCATGGTTTCAACAATATGGCACCAGTCGTCACATGTCAAATGAATCAATTGAAGGCGTAAAGGAGTTATTTATTCTCCAATAAGCTGATTTCGCAAAGAGGTGATGTTAACTGGCCACCAAGCAGTCCAGACCTGAGTCCTCTGGACTATTTCTTATGAGGACTTCTTAAAGAGAGGGTGTATGAAAATAAGCTGAGGACATTAACTCAATTAAAGCAGAATATCACAGCAGAAATGGCATTGGTATCTCAGGCTTTGTGTCAATGTGTACTGAAAAATCTTCGCTCAAGATTAGAAGAGTGCCAGGAGCATAATGGATGCCATTTAGATAACATAATTTTCCAATAACCATAGATTGAAAATAAAAACAAAACTTTCTTTGAACATTTTTTATTTTTAATTTATTTTACTTCTAAACTGCACTCACTCTTTCTGGATACCCTGTATACACATACCATATAGTGCTTTACAATTGTGAAGAAGTTTGTACTTTCATTATCCAGTTATACTCATAACCATGAAAGTAGTATGTCAAGTTATATAGAATATTGATATGAATTTAGATTTGTTGTACAAAAATAGAAGAAAAAATAAGACATGACACAGAATTGCTATGGAGAACTTATTGATTGATTATGTAGACTTTATTGTATGAAAAGGAAATGCAGTTTGTTTGGGCTGTTCATTTCTCTTCAGTCCTTATACATATTTGATAAAACTAAAGAATAAATTGTGGTAAAATTAGCAACTGTTTATTATCCTACACAAGCATAAAACTTGTAAAAAATGAGATTAAAAAATAAATAAATTATTATTTATTTTCTAAATTTATTTTAGTTTTACTAGTTTTACCTCCTTTGTTCTAAAAAGTTTGGTTACTCGAGCTGTTACCAATATATCATTTCATGTAATTAATTTTTTGTGAGTTTTATACATGTTTAGGATAGTAAATAGTTGTTAATTTTAACACAATTTAATGTGTAATTTCATCAGATATATATAAGGACTGAAGAGGGATGAACAGTCTGAAATGAATTTCATTTTCATATAATAAAGTCTATTTAAACAATCAATAGGATTCCTGTATAATTTCTCCATGGCAATTCTGTGCCTATTTCCAAAGATCTAAATAGAGACAAGAAGCAGTTGAGTATTAAAAAATCAACATAAAAAATATATTATGGAACTTCTTATATTANTATTCTATACCAAGTTTGTGATATCAAACTCTTCTAATACACACTTTCAGCTGCTGCTTATTTTCACATCTCTTTATAATTTTTATGCTCAAAATATTCTGGCAGTTCTCAATAAGGTTGAGATCAGAACTATTACCTATACCAGCTTAGGCATATAATCTGGGTTTTTTGTAATTTAGGAATTTTTTTATCTAAACAATTTGTGTGTTAGATTAAGTGACAATAATGTTAACAAATGTAGAACTTTATTCACTATCCTGGCTTAGTGACATGGTGAGATTTGTCCTGATATATGCAGAAGTTTTTGTGTTACAAAATTGTTCCTTGATTGTTGGAATTAACTTGGTAGATAAGATGTTTTTTGTAGCAGGCTGCATTAACAGTGTCATTTATAAATGGACAAACTATTTAAAGAATAAAATTTAAAAAAAGTATTTATATATGTATATGTGTGAATTGAAAGCTTTTTCAACTTATTAAAAATGATTAATAAATAAAAATGTAAAGAATATACTGTAGATATGTAAACATGAATAATGTTATAATGTAATTTAATATTTAAAATGTTTGTATTTTTTGACACACAAAATTTCAAACATTATAAACTTTGTTATTTTAAAAAGCTATTTTCTGAATATTGTTGAAATGCTTTCTGATAATTTCATCACTGGTAATTACATTTAAATACAAAAATAATATTAAAATTGATTTTGTAATAAAAAACTTTTTTACAGTTGCAATTGCATATTAAAATATTTTTAATATTAAATGAGACTGTTATTAATTAATTAATGAGACATCTTAGTTATTAATTTTTATAAAGGCAACTCATAATCAGTTTTCTTCACATTTTTGTTCCTGAATATTACTTATTGATGTGATGATGCATTTTATATTTTCCTGTTCTTCCATGAAACTCTTTAATAACAATAAGATATACTGTATATTATTTTCTAGAATGTTCTCATGATTTGTATTAAGTCAGTCATAGACATTATCTGACATTATATATTTGAGCATTTATGAAGAAAAATTGACATTTTTCTAGTCTATGTACAGGGTGTCCCACTTAAAATCAGCTTAACTGAGGTAATGAAATATTAGTAATGTAAATTTTATTGGTGGATATTTAAAAGAGAAAATGTATGAGACTCCTGAACTATTCAACTATTCAATTCCTGAACTATAAACAGATTGAAGGAAAGCATTTGTAGAAACATTAAAGCTATCAATATCAATGTTTTATGTAGGTTTCAGTCTGAACATGATTACACTTACACAAAGATATATAGATGCACAAGGATATCACTTTCAGCATTTTCTGAAAGTTCTTAACAAGTATCCTTTCCCTATATTTGTATTGTTTCCAGTGAATGGGCTGATTTTATGTTCAACACTCTATATAAAATAAACACCAAAAGTTATGTTAACTGACATGTATTGGTTTGTTATGACATATTACATAGGTTTAATGGTTTCTTTTTCCTCATACTTATAAAATCTTTAAGATTATGGACAATTTGGAATTTATTTTTATATACTTGTATATACCATACATACAGCAGCTACTACTTAGATTGAAATTAGAGAACCAAAGGAAATAACCTCCCTGCTTGCCAGATTATATCATTAATAATTATGAAGAACAGATTACATGAATTTTATGAGTAACAATTTATTAATTCTATATGTAACTGTTACTTTCATTATCACTATATACTAATCCAGATAAGAATTTTTAAAATGCTTTTTTAATATCCTTAACTTTTGTTAGTGCTCTTTTAGGTTTTTTTTTTGTTTGTTCTTAGAAACAAAGAAAAAGAGTGAAATGTAATTAAATATTAGATTTTATTATTGTCTTTGATAACTTTTTCATATTATAAAAGCATTCATTTATCAACATTTCCCTTAAATCAAAAATATATGTATTTTTTTTTAATTTAACATTTTTGAAGTGATTAACTTTACCTTATTATATAATTCAAAATAAATGATTTATTTAAAAAATGTTTAGTTGATAAAGAAAAAATTAGTACTTTTCAATAGCTTCCAAATTCAGTATTTTTTTTTTAGTATATATCATGTTTTATTTCTTTGATTTAATATAGTAATTTATATACATTAGAATTTACATGTTTAGTGTTATTTTATTAAAATATTAATATAAGCTATTCATTTTATCATAAACACTTTTTCCTTAATTAATAAATATATTTATAAAGGTGGACTTTTCACTGAAAACTGCTTTGTTCTTGCTGAAGGATATTGTGAAGATAGCATTTTTCATGTTTCAGCATTAGGGTTTCCACCTCCTGAAACTTCGCAGACTACTCTGTAGGATATTTTTACTTTTCAGGTTTTAATAATAACTATTTAATATAAATATTATAAGATATAATTACAGTTTTAGTTTAAAAATTTTATTTTAATTAACAGTTTAATTTATGATATTTTCTAAGTTAGAAATAACTTGAAAACTTGAGGAACAATTATTTACAGTAGCAGCCATGAAAATTGCATCATCTAGAAAACTAAAAACACTCAACAGATAGGAAAAATAGTATATTTAATCTATTATTGCAATTTATAACAAATGTAGTACAGAGAAGAAACCAAATCACAAAATTTATTACATAATATGTTACATAGAACTTAAATAAGTGTTCATTCATATTACACTTTCTCATCAACACTGTCAAAAACTTGACATTGTTAGTTATGAAAACAAAACAAAGATTGACAGGCTCAGGCCTGTCAATCTTTGTTTTGAAAAACAATCTTTGTTTTGAAAAACATAATATAAACTNATTTAATAAAAAGTAAAATACAGCTGGATACGAGTCCAATTTTGCTTGCCATTTCCAATCACCAGGAACAACTATTTCCATTGCAGAGACAACCTTTCTTTAGAGGCTATGCCTCTGCACAAATATGTAAAACAGTTTAAAATATTCACAGGTGACAATCCCAACACAATTAAAAATATAATATTTCTTTGTAGTGTTGTTGCTTTTCAGTGTATTCAGTTGTCTCTGTTCCATTGTAACACAAGAGTGAACTGTGGTAGTACACCATTATTGTGTTTGCAAATTTTTATATATTTTTATTTTATATTTTTGGGGGGTCGCGAAAAAAAATCACAATCATAAATGGGGTCGTGAATAAAAAAAGTTTAAGAAGCCCTGATCTAAAACATTAAAATAAGAATTTGATTGATTTCTTTCATCATTAAAATGAACAAATAAACTTTAATGCTCAAAAACGTTTGAGCATTAAAGTTTTCGAGCATTAAACTTTAATGCTCAAAAACGTTTGAGCATTAAAGTTTATTTGTTCATTTTATTGCTGGAATTAGCATTTAGGTGTCAAATTTTTTGTTTACTTAATGTTGCTCAAATTGGAGTTCACGTCCTTCAGAGGTCTGTTGTTGTTATTCTTTTATATCTAGAATTTACCTGACCAATTTTAATCTAATACTTTCCCCTAGGCATATTTTTTTGATAAAATTGCAAGTCTTTTTAATTTCACATTGATAAAATAAAAGAGAATTGTATGTATGTTAATAAGATGAGTGATAACACATTATAAATAATGGAATCGTTAGATCATTACTTCTAATTGGATAGTAGAATGTCATGTGATCACTAAGGAAAGATTTAAAAGTGATAACAATAAGTAGAGTCTACTGTAATAAGTTAAAGTTAAAATTCAAACAATAATTGGAGTCCTTATTTATAATACCTTATATTTACTGAATAATCTGCACACTTTTTGTCCAAAAACATCATGACAAATAGTTTAAGTATGCAGTCTATTTGAAATAAATTTGGTGATAAAACTCACAAAGTCCAGGAAGTTTCCAGTTATCAGTTACTATACATTTTGCGTACTTTTCAATTGATGAATATAATCAATGTCTTGGTATGATAATTTCATGAAAATGAGGATAAAATTAATCAAATACACAAATGAGACTGACCATAAATAATACTTATACTTACAAAACAGTGAGAATGAAGGTTGCTATTGTACAATCCTAAGTTATTAAAATTTGTTTAATAAATTGAATTGATCAAGTTTTCTTAATCCAGTATCCTAAAAAAAATGGGATGAGTGTATTTCTCAAGGGTATGAATTATTCGAGTAGATATGATATTAAGAATATTTAGCAAAGGGTTAAAATTCTTTTTGTAATTTTATGTAAATATTTATTTAGGAAAAGATTTGAATGTCTAAATTTATGTGGAAATATTTCTGCAAATAAGTTTATAAAGTTAAAAGCTTTAGAAAAAAATCATCAAGATGCAATGTTTGTATTCTTATCTGATGTATGGTTGGATAAAATACAGGTAATTATCTTTAAAAATCTTTTGTTTGCATAATGATTTTATTCTATTTGTTTTGTGATATAATAACTTTCTTATGTCAAAAAAGTTTGCTATATTTTTTCTACTTAAATAATTTAAACAAACAAAATATTTTTATTATGAATTTGTAGGTAATGCAGAAACTTAGAGTTTTATTTGCTGGTTATTCTGAAATGCCACCAACATGTTTTGTATTCATGGGTAATTTCCTGTCAACCCATGCAGGATATTCCCATTTTCAAACTACTAAAGGTAATTAAAAGCCATTTTATTGTAAAGGTAAAATAGTTTCACTGATAATTAAAAACACACTATATAATTGTTAGTTCTGAATAGAAACATGTTTTAAGAAATTTTGATAACATACAGTATATTTATAAGTTAACATATTAACAATTATATTAAAAAAATAGAACTATTATACTGAGTTTATATACATATATCTCTCACCTAACATCAATAATTTGTTCCTAAAAATCAGATATCTTGTAAAAAATTGCTAATGGATGCCTATTTCCCATTGTTTTATAGAGAAAAATTATAATGCATTAGTAATTCCCATGTCAAGTATGACAGAATACTTTTTGTGAGAAAGTAGAGATTGAAGAATTGAGAACAGTATAGATTTCAAGAAATTCAAGAAGCGTTGTTAATATTTCTACAAATTAAGTAGCTTATACTATTTGTTATAACATGAAGAGCAACAAAACAAAATTTTACCTGGAGTGGACAAAAATAGTAAGAGTTATACAATTCACTTACATACACATAAACAGATTTTGGCATTTATATTAGAATGATAATAAAATCTTTATAAAATTTCTTAATACACTACATTCCATCCATAGTTCTATTTTTCTATGCACAAGTTGAGCTTGATATGATGCTGTTTCTGCAGCTCTTGATAAAGCCATTCTTACTTAATGTTAGACATAAAATACTGGCACACACAAACTGGAACAATATAAACAAACAATTTGACACCTAAATGCTAATTCCAGCAATAAAATAAACTTTAATGCTCGAACATTTTCAGGCATGTTTTAGAGGCTCTCATCAGGAATGTATAAAAGACAAAAANTCATTTGCTTACAGATGGTTTTAAAAAGCTGGCATCTCTTATCAGTGAATTTCCAAGACTAGTTGAAAATTCCTATTTTGTATTTATCCCTGGTCCAAATGATCCAGTTTTGTCTCATATTCTTCCAAGGTATTATGTAGTGTTTAATTATAATAATATATTCATGCACAGTAGTTATTATTTTATTTTATAAGAAGCTTTAGAAACTTGGATTATGTAAAATGAGTATTTTTAAAGTTAAAAATGTTTAACATTTTAAATGGATGAATTATGTGAATTTTAAGAAAACCACTTATTAGAGTGGGGGTAACTTTTAATATTGATTGAATTACCTTTTACCCCCCCTTTTTTTAGAAGTTTCATACTTTACTGCTTGTTTATCGATCTGTTATGTAAATAAGAAATCAACCATAGCTAATGAAGTTTAACCAACATTTTTTTTAGACAATTTGTCTCATCATCAGATTTATCATCTTTACTTAGCTAATAGCTTTATAGTATAGGATGATATTAAATACTGTTATTTAAAACATTTCTACTGAGTATTTTTTTTAATTTTATGAAAAAGGAAACAAATTAGCAGAAAGAAATTAATTAAGAAAGCTTATTAGATTTTTTGTGCTGAATTATTTTTACTAAATATAAAATTTTTTAATTATCTAGAGTAATTTTAATCATGTTAAATAGACATAATTTATAACAAAAAGGCTTAATTTACCAAACATTACAATCATATTTTTTATTCTAATACAAAAACTTTGAAGTCTAGATATGATAATACAGATAATACATTAGGTCTTGATTAACCTAGGTTTATTTATCAAAGGTTTCACATATCTAAAGTGTTTTCTTGTTTTTGTTGAAAAGTATTTATTCTTAACAATTCATAATATAGTACAGTACAATTAAAATTCACAATTAAACCATAAACAACGTACAGGAACCTGTTGCCGGTGTGCTTCTCGGTAAACAGAGCGTTACAAACGTTTTCGAACTTGACAGTTCTTCTTCAGGTAGCATACAACTGTTAATCGAATGCAGTTCAAATTCAATTCATATTAGAATACCATTAAGAGTTCTATCGCATGGATTCATGTCGTCATTCACGCATGCGCCCCTTTGCTGGTTGTAAATTATCATAAGTTCTTATCTACGAGCACCTGCCATGCAGTTGACAGGCTGATTTTGTCTTTGCTGTTAATACAATTATGATCTTTTAGTGTAGGCATACATGGGCTGCACTAAAAGATGTACAGGGCCTCACACCATCTTAGATGGCTAGAGGCCCTGTACATCTGTATGTCTACACTAAAAGATGATAATTGTATTAACAGCAAAGACGAAATCACCCTGTCAACTGCATTGCAGATGCTCGTAGATAAGAACTTACGATAATTTACAACCAGCAAAGGGGCGCATGCGTGAATGACGACATGAATCCATGCAATAGCATTCTTAATGGTATTCTAATATGAATTGAATTTGAATTGCATTCGATTAACAGTCGTATGTTACCTGAAGAAGAACTGTCAAGTTCGAAAACGTTCATAACACTCTGTTTACCAAGAAGCACACTGGCAACAGGTTCCTGGTACATTGCTTATTGTTTACTTTAACCCGGTGTAGTATATTTCTGATTGAAAATTCACAATTATTGACTGAGTAATGAGTATGGTACTTTTTAAGTATCTAATGAAGTAAAAAAGAATTTACTTTAGTGATTTCTCACAATACCAGAAATTTGAAAAAAATTAACAAAATTTTAATTTTAATCATAGGTTTATATTTGCTATAAAAATAAAGTAGTAAATAAACTTCAAAATGTTTTCAATAATAGAAATCATTACGTTTAATAACTATATACACATTTATGCATTCAAATTCAATTTATGTAATAATTTACCAAACATTCTGTAATCCAAGCTGTTATGAATTCAGTTCATATTATCTTGGATAATTGGGATTCTGCTGTATTTTTAAAATTGATTGTATACATAAATGTTTTTAACTGAAATATATAGAAATTTGAAATAGATAATGTCATAATTATTTCAAATTTTTAATTTATTTACTACATATTATTATTCATTTTCCATGATTAAACTCTAAACATTAAGTTTTATAATGAAAATTTTGTTCTACTTTTTGATTTTAGGCCTGCCATACCTAATACATTTCTTGATGATTTTCTAAAGAAAGTACCAAAAGCTGTATTTACAACAAATCCTTGTAGAATACGATTTTACACTCAGAATATCCTTATATTCCGAGAAGATCTAATTGCTAAAATGTGTCGAAATAGTGTTTATTTTCCATGGGAACATGAAAATGACATTGATATACCTACATTAGTAAGCACTTGTTTAATAATTTATTTCATTTAAATGATATAATATGATAAGATTCAACTATTTATTTTTCAGTTTGCAAAAACTTTAGTAGCAAATGCTCATCTTAGTCCTTTACCTTTGGTAGTTCAGCCTATTTATTGGGAATGGGATTTTGCTCTTTGTTTGTATCCGCTTCCTGATGTAATTGTATGTGGTGACAAATATGATCCCTACTGTGTAACAAATACTGATTGCATATTCTTTAATCCTGTAAGTAAAATATACATAAGAGGTTTTAATATCTAAAAATATTTAGTAATTTGAATAATTTTATAATTAAGTTTACAAAATCAAATTTTTATTATAGTAAGTAGTAAATGATATAATTTGACAACTTTCTAAATTGTAATAATAAGACATTGTTTAAACATTAGTAAAGCAGAATGTTAATGTACAATTACTTGATATTTAATTAACAATTTAAAATTATTACTTCTTTAAGCATTTGCATTAAACACTTTTAGAAACCTAAACTAGTTATTTGCATAGAAATTATATATTTAAGACTGTAACTTCTTTGGTTATGCACATGACAGCAGATAGCGTTAAAAGTAATGTTTTTTCAATGGGAATTCTTTTCCAAAAATTCTAGAAACAGAAAAAGATTGATACAAATAGATTTTTGTATTAGAATCATATTTAATTATTCTATTAACTTATGGTTTAGAATTTTGAAATTTAAGTTTGTTAAATTTTTATGAATTTCTAGTTTTAAAAATACATAGAAAATTTACTTTTTCACAGTTTTTTCAAAACATGATTTATATAGTTGTTGTATTAGCTTTGGATCCAGAGTTTCTGTAGTTCTGTGATAATTATATATATTTTTTGCAAATTTATCATACAAATATATAGAAAATCTGCTGTCAATATTTTACCATAGTACTGTAGTTCTTGAGGTGCTGAATTTGAATCATGGATGAAGCATCTAATAAATCATTTAAGTATAAGTTAATTACAACAGAATGTTACTTTGTAAAGCATTTATTGACTGAAATAGTATAAACATTTTATTCTTTCTAAATTAACTTTTGTAAATTTAGTGAAATTAATATAACAATATTCTTTATGTTGAAAGTAAATTTTAATATATATTTATTTATTTTAATATTAGGGTTCTTTCCCAAGATCCAATTTTTCTTTCAAAGTATACTTGCCAGGAAGCAAACAAGTTGAAGATAGCCAAATAACAGAGACTGATTAATGCATTTTAATATTTGTATATACAAATGTCTTTTATTTATATAAATGCTATAAATCTAAATATTGTATAGAATATTTTCATATAAACTTGGAAATTAAAACAAATTATTGTTTTTACTTAAATAGTATTAATTTATTTCTTGAAATACTAACATAAAATGGTATTATTTATAAACATCCAATTTATCAATGAAATAATATCAATTCTGGATTTTTTTTATCATTTCTTTGTTTCATAATTTAATTCTAAAATGTAGATAAATGTTAAATAATTACATGTAACTCTTTTACAAAATGCTTTTGTTTATACTGTAACTAGCAAGAAGCACAAGCTATAGTAATGTTGAATTCTTTTGAATGATTTACAATAAGTGAGGATCTAACACAAAGGTATTAGAGAAGCATTTTTTTTCATAGATATGTTTTAAAAATAAAAGTTATATAAGATTTATCATTTCATACCTTAAGTCAAAAACAAAAGATTATATTAACTGTATACATTAATTAATACATTATACAGTATCAAGTTTTAAAATAATTTTGTAGTTTATTTTTAATAAAATTTTATTAAAAGATGGGTGATTAAATAAAACTGACTGACATCATCATACCCTATTGAATTTTAATCATCTTAGTGTCTTCTGATAGTCTGTCTTAGAGAGGAGATAGATCTTGTCCCTTTCAAGTAATTGCCCTTGTGAAAATATGATCAAACATGTAATGGGCATTTTTTTTTACTCTTATGTAGGCACTAAGAAGGCTTTTTTAATCAATGGGTTAGACAGGGTCCAACATATTCAGGACTACTGAGTTCTCTTATACACTGGAGGGATTGCTGATAGGATTACAGAAGCAAAGCCAGACTGCACAATTAGTTTTGTCTGAGCCAATTTTTATCTCAGAGCCAATAGAAGGTGGATCTGATCATTAAAAATATTTTACAAAAAAGTTTAATAATAATAATTATACCAAAGGGATTAATAACAACAATAAGGATAAGTTTTAATGATAAACAATAGTAATGAAAACTTTCATAAAAATAGATTTAATTGGAAAAATAAACATTGGTTTAGCAGTTTAAACTATAAGTTTGGGAGTTGCAGTTGCTATCCAGTTCTTAAAAAGTAATGATCACTATTTTATTAGAATTGTTTTCAAATTAGCATATCAAATATTTTATCCGATCTATTTAGATCAAATTCTTAGTAGCTAATGAAACATATTGGATAAATGCATTTAATTAAAGTATAATTTACTTGTAAACTTTGAAAATAGAAGACATGCATACATTACTCACAAAAAACGTATGTAATTAGTCCACTATGAAATTCATAACAAATTGCTGATGAACCTTTAATGAACCAAATTTAATTGCATACTAACATATAAATTTTTCCAACATGATCATGAACTGTTGTTTTCTTGCATCAGATCAAAGGGAGGCTGGAATAATGACTTCAACAGTTTTGGGGACTCGAAATCGAATCCGGACGAGTGTCTACTCATCAATTTTTTCATGATGATCTGTGCCAGATATGTAGGGTCCTCGTCCCTCACCACCTGGCCATCAGCATTATGGGCCGAATTTACGATGAATATACAAAACTGGCCCTCTTAGCGGTCACAGAATGAAAAGAAAGTTTAAAAATTCATCATCAGTTTGGATTTCTATTAAAGAAATTACTTTCAATAATTTTTTTAAAAACGTAAAAATATTATTACGTTATATTACAAATCTAATCGTAACAGTTTTTGTATTTAAGTATTGTTTTAAACAATGCCTAAGAGAAGAGAATTGAGTCAAGATCAGATATTGGAAATTCAAGAAGCATTCGCTTTTTTCGACAGAGATGGTAATGGAATTATCATCGGTAAAGAATTGAATGCAGTGATGAATTCTCTTGGTTACTACCCTACGGAGGAACAGTCCAATGCGATGATGCAGAAGATCAGATCTTTTGGTAGAGAAACCATAGATTTGTCTCTCCTCCTGGAACTAGTTAAAGATTTTCTGAAAGATTCCAACGATAGGGATGATATTCAAGAGGCACTGAAAATGTTTGATCGGAATGGCACAGGATATATTTATGTACAGGATCTTCGTCGTCATTTGACTTCCCACGGAGAAAAACTGACTTTGCAAGAAGTAGATGAACTACTAGAAGAAATTTATGTCGATGGACATGGACGGATTAAATACCAAGATATCGTCAATTTGTTGATTGCGAGGTAAACGAAAAGTTTACCGACAAAATTTTCAATATTTCGTTTTAAAATTTGTTTAATCAAATTTTCTTTTGAAAAATCTGTTTTAAATATAAATTGATTTTCTTGTAGTAAAATTTTATAACTGAAATGAGAATATATATCATGTAAAACAAAAAATTAGTGAAAAATCTTTCTCCTGTGAATAATTTTCATAATAACTTCGTGTAAGAGATATTGTACTATACATAATAATTGTAAACAAAGTTTAATTTAAATTAGGGAATGCATTCTGCAATTCTAAATGCTTTTTGTTGTATGCACTTTTTAAATGCAATTTTAGAAAGAACAGTCATAATTCCACTGATGATTAATAGATTAATAAGAAATCTTGTTAACTGAAGAATTGATTAAATGATGATAGTTCAAGCCTCTTCCAGAAGAAATTGAACTGTTATCTATATATATAAAATTGCTTGTCCTGACTGACTGACTGACTCACTGATTCATCATCGCCCAGAGCAAACCGCTGGACCTAAAGAGCAGAAATTTGGTACACAGTTAGGGTACGTCATGAAAACGCACACTAAGAAGAGATTTTTCGAAATTCCCAAGTGGGGGGAGAGGGAGAGCATTAAGGCTTAACCGAAAGAATGGCTTCTACTGTTCTATTTTAGATGCGATTTTTTGTTTTTATCTGCGTTTTAGTGTGCATTGCCATGGCATACCATGGCAATGCACACTAAAAAAGGGATTTATCGAAATTCCCCCGCGGGGGGAGAGGGGGAGCATTAAGGCTTAACCGGAAAAACAGCTTCTACTGTACTATTTTAGATGCGATTTTTTGTTTTTATCTGCGTTGTAGTAGGGTATGCCATGAGAATATACACTAAGAAGGGATTTTTAGAAATTCCCCCGCGGGGGGTGAGGGAGAGGATATAGTGTTCATCGAGTACTTAGGTGTATTAAATTAATAACATTTCAGACATTGTTATAAATATTTTTATCTATTTCGATTTTAAAAATGTTCGAACCGTTTTAAATTCGAATTTGTTATTGCATATTGGTTCGATTATAGAACGATTGTAAACGTTCCAAAAAATTGATCAAATTGAAAATAGTTCGTTTGATTCTCGGCAATTCTCTTCAGCGGTAGGTGTTATATAACAATTACTATGGTTATTGAAATATTGAATGTAAATGGGGTTTGCTTGCAAAACCTTCGCGGACGAAGTCGCGGGTAACAGCTAGTCATTTAATAAACGTTTGATAAAATATTTTTGCTGGAACAGGCTTGAACTTATCCAGTGATGGATATATTTGTTATGAAGGATTAATAATAATCTGCTCATTTCATACACGTGATAAAACAAATCACAAGTATTGATAATGAATTTTTTTTAATTCAAACGAGGCCTCCGGTTATGGTTTTATGTATCCAGTGAATACTGGTAGTGGTCACTGGTTGCATCTCCTGGAAGTCTCTCTTGCCAGATCGCCTGTGTGTTATTTTGCCATATTCCGTCAATCTTTAATTCAAACGAAGATGTTCATAGATTGATAAATGCTATAAAGCAGTTTGAATTAAAATGTAATTTGCCTGTTATGGATACCATAATTGATAATTATGGATATGGATAGCCGGATGGCCAGGCGATTAAGGCGTTAGCCTTCCGGGATGAAATCCGGATGAGCAATCCAAGAAATTTTCGGAGATGGCGTGTCCAGGAAATGTCAGACCCTTCACTACCTGGCTTCCATTGCGGGCCTCGCAAAACTCACTACAGAATAAGTATAGATATGGAGTTTTTAAATTCTTTCCGCCCTGTGGACATTAAGAGAGCCTTTTTCAGGTTCAATGTGGGCTTAGCCAAGTTCTTAATTGGCGGCCGGGTGGTGAGTGACGTACTGCCCTAGGATCGTAACAGAATTCTGTTTACGATCTTTGGTACAACCAAAAACTTCCTGGATTTTCTCAATCCGTTTGGATTCGTTTCCGGGTCCTCGGTGCTGTAACATCCTAACTGCTTAGCCATCCGACCAACAATATAGCACAAAAGAAAATAGGAATTGGTGTTAGTTTGTTAAACATGAAACTAGTACATTTTATACTTAAATGATAAAGTTCGAGTTAAATGTGCTAATTCTTTACGCATTACTTCGTATAATTCTGTTAGCATTTTATATTTTTGAAACAACTAAAACTTGTTCACATCTTGTTACTATTCCTTTAAAATGTAACTAGTTTGAGTAATCAGTAAAACCTGATTTTGTTTACACGTCTTTAAATGTAAATAGGATATTTTGTATATTCTACTCGATACTAGTAGTACCTAAAAGAACATTTGCTGTAAAACTTGTTAAATTACAAATAAATAGAAAAAACAATAAAGCAAATAAATTTATTTACATAAAATTTAATTAATATAATACTTAAACGATATTTAAATACCTTAAACTGTATTTAAATACCTTAAAAGTTCATTTGCATTTAGAAATGAATAACTAAGTCAACGACATTTAATCGAACGTTTCCTTCTTCCTTAGTCTACAGTTTGAAATTCATTTTTTTTTAAACTCTTACCTGTGATCACTAAGAGGATCTCTTTTTGGCGAGCTCATTCTGGGTTCGGCTAGGCCATAATGGGAGCCAGTTGGTGAAGGAGGGTCCCGACATATCCGAACGGATCACCTCCCTGAAAAATTCCTGGGGTTTCTCGACCCGTTCGGTTCGGTTCGATCCCGAGTCCCCAGAAAGGTAGGCTGCACATTAACCATTCAGCCATCTGGCTATCAAAGGCTAAGTTTTTTCTTTACTTAGGCGCGATTTTATTCGAAATAAATGACGTCAGTCCTCCTGACCAAAATTTAATTTATAATAATCTGTTCGTTAATAAAATTTATAAAATTGGAAATCAATGAAAGAATGTCATCTCGAGAAATTATTTTCAGAAGCATTTTTTTACTGAACTTCAGTATAAAAATGCTTCTGAAAATAATCACGTCTGATCATACTAGTTGGAACATCAGTGATTCAAACTATTATTCAAGTCGGAATGGCAGGGAGGAGCATCATTACGGTTCATATCAGTTAAAAACGGAAAAAGAAATTCAAGTTTTTAAATACTAAACATATTCTCCAACAATTTTACAATAAAATTTTAAAACCGATTGGTTAAAAACGTCAACCATTAAAAACTTGTCTGTCTTTAATAAGTAAAAGGCAATAATTAATTTTAGAGCAGATAATTATTATATATAATTATTTACGATCCTGTTTTAGAAAATAAAACTTGGTAGTATTTTTATAATAAAAGTTTTATTCCAATTCTTGAAATTTTAACTAGAGAGTATCTAATGTTTTTCTGTTTTTGGGAAAAATGTTTGGTCATGCATTATATACCGTATTTTGACGAGTATAAGTCGCTGTCAAGTATAAGACGCACCCCTATTTTGAGACAAAAAATTTAGAAAAAAACCGTTTTAATAGGATTGTCTAAAGATGCATTTTATTTGTTTTTTTATTCAAGAATATGACGGATGGATGAATCGATACCTTTTATTAAACTGAAATAATCGTCATTTCTTAATGTAAACTCAGAGGTCACGTGATGACAGTCGACAGAACATGGTGGCGATGACTCATGTGTCGCTACTCTGATAATCTAGATACTATAGTCATTCGGTTGAAGGACCATCTGCTTAACGGACCACTGCACAGGTTGGTCCCTAGAGTGGACCACTACTGTAGGTAATTTCACTGTCGAATATAAGACGCACCATGATTTTGAGCCCCAAAAAGTAGTAAAAAAAGTGCGACTTATACTCGTCAAAATACGGTAAATATTTTTTCTATTTTCATGAGCATATTTTTATCCCATACGTTCAATAATTTTTTCCATACAATATAATTCCATAATAAACACTTTTGAAACACAAATGATCATGCATTTAACTTTCTAATTTATTTACTTTATTCTATATTTTGTAAATTTTAACTAATATATATATATTTATATTTATATATATATGTTTATTTACACAAATATATTGTTATTGTAAATTTAACAACAATAATCACAAAATATAAAATTGTGGAAGACAATTGATAAGAATACAATCATTAGATTAGAATGTAATTTAGAGTAAAAATGATTGCATTAAAGAACAATATGGCAAAAAAACAGTGTCTAATTCAACTGTTTAATGCTGTAGTTTAATGCAGAAATTTTTGCTACTAGACCTCTTTTTGTGGAAGACAAATTTAATTATCACATTTCTGTACTTGCTATGGAAGACTTTTAGATGGAAGACTGAATATTAATTAAGAGGCTTGTTTTTCAGTATGGTTTCTAAGAGCCAATCTCAGAACAGATACACAAAAGTCTGCATCTTCCTTAGTGATACACATGGGGGGTTTGATCCTGAATACCTAAAAATATATAAAATTTCAAAACATTATTATTTAAATTTGATCTTAAAAATTGTATGTGAAGAAAACTGTTTAAATTAATATTAAGATTCATTCCACACTACTGAGCCACTCACAATATAATGAAATATTTATCACTTGTGTACAATGTATTTATTTACACTATGAGTAACATTCAAGTCTTGATCTGGTCTTGCTCAGAGAAAGTTGATTGGAAAAAATATTTTACTGGAGAAAGATTGAACTCATCTAGGCCTATACTAACAGCATGAATAATCTTTTGTATTAACTCCAATTAACCAACAGTTAGTGATGTGTTTTGTAGCATGTTGCTGTGTTAATATTTGAAAAATAAAAATTCTTATTGAGTTTATGAACAAAGTGCCTAAAGCAAGCCTAAATGGATTTATTCTTGCTTGATTTTAAAGTTAACTGTTTATCAGTTAACTTTAAAATCAAGCAAGAATAAATTGTTAACAAGAAAGTTAAGTTTGCTTTATATACTTTGGAGAAGTTATTACAGTTTAAGAAATTTACAATTAAAATGAGTATTTTATTATAAAAATTTTTTTTGTCAGTTTTATGTTTAAGATATTTTAATTATTGTTTCTAATCATTTAAATACATCTATATACCCATTTTTCTAAATTCTGAATATATCTAAAATAAATTGTAGACAAAAATACTTGATGAAAATGATGTTCCTTTAAAGCAGGGATGGCCAACACGCAGACCACAGTCGACCGGTCGACCACAAAGGTTTTGAAAGTAACCCACAAAGCTGAAGTTGAGCAATTTGATTTCACTTAAATTAATGTTTAAAAATCTTAATTCGATAATTTATTCTTACAATAATAGAATGTCTGTGCAACGTACCCATACTGTTTGTNAAATGATTTTGCATCATTTTATGCGATTGCCATTTATGTGTGCATGCGCTAACATTCATTTGCATTGTTCATCGGGATAAATACAAACAGTATGGGTACGTTGCACAGACATTCTATTATTGTAAGAATAAATTATCGAATTAAGATTTTTAAACATTAATTTAAGTGAAATCAAATTGCTCAACTTCAGCTTTGTGGGTTACTTTCAAAACCTTTGTGGTCGACCGGTCGACTGTGGTCTGCGTGTTGGCCATCCCTGCTTTAAAGGAACATCATTTTCATCAAGTATTTTTGTCTACAATTTATTTTAGATATATTCAGAATTTAGAAAAATGGGTATATAGATGTATTTAAATGATTAGAAACAATAATTTTGACAATCAATCACATTTTGACAATCGCATAAAATGATGCAAAATCATTTTATGCGATTGTCAAAATGTGTCAGACAGTAACATGACATATTCATAGTCGCTCACAGACTATATTTTACCGAAAAAGTAGCCCTAAGGGATAAAAGTTTGGCCACACCTGCTTTACAGAATCAATAAAACAAAATTTATATTTTCTAATAATCACAAATACATTATTTAGCAAGAAAAGAAATATACAGGCATACCCCAGGTTACATAAGTGAGAGTCGGACTTGACAAAAAATTTGGAGAGTAAATTCATTTTTTGTCTTTCTAAAAATTTTCCAATTTTATTACTGGGAAATGATCACATCTCTCTCTCCAGAGTCGTTTCCTTTCCCAGGGAACTCATCAAATGTGTCACTGGGAACTAATAGAAAAAATTCACAATTGGTGAAAAAGGGTAACGTGATTTGGAGGTATAAAAGGAGTGACTTAAGCACAAGTGATCATCGAGAGTTCACAAGAGCATCAATCAAGTGCCCTGAAAAAACCCAGGAGGTATCGTATCAAGTATTTCATACTCTGTGTTTTGACACTTTCGAAATCCCCGGATTATATCCGTCAGTTTCCATTGGTTTAACCGCTGCCCAAGGAAAAGAAAAATTAACACCTCCCCAACCACTCCAACTGACTGAATGACCAGCCAAAAGTCAGTGATCCGAAATCCACACAATTAAGTGCTTCAAACTCGCAGTTTCTTGTAAATTCTCTCTCTTGACCATTATTCGATAGCATAGAGCTATGTATTCTTTTTTGTTGAATTAGATCAGATATTTTAGTTGTTAACCTTGTATCTGAGTGATTCACTTCTGATCTGTCTCTCAATCCTCCACCATCCCAAATCCGACTGCCCACATATGTGACCAATTGCGCAGATTCTAAAGTTGTGGCCATTAAAGTTTCTGTGTCTATCCTGATGAGGCACTAAAGAGGTGCTGACCTTCTGGTCACACATACATTATGCATTTCATCAAATAGTGGTTGTATTGTGAATGGTTTTATTGTGACTTGTCATTTCCCATACATTTATATACATTATTTTTTAATTCATACATATGTTTTAAACTGAATTTTAAATAAATGCATATGAAAACTTTAAATAAATAAAACACAACTGAAAGCTTGGATTTTATGTAGTACCTCCACCAATTTTGAATTTGCTAATTCTTCATGAGTTTCAATTATATGTTCAATATCTGCTGCATTAATTTCTAAATTCTAGTCTCCTGCCCAGTTGAACAACTTGATTAGTTATCATATCAGAAGTTCCAATATCATCATCATATTTTACAAATTTTGGGATAAGAGTTCACAATTGTCCATTACTCTTACATTGTATAAAATCATCTATATTATTTTTTTTTAAATAAGTAATTATTGACAATTTGCCAAATTTTCTTAAAACCAAGACACATTTGGTCTTCAGCCAGAGTCCCAGACACACAACTCAAAAACCAGACAGGTGGTGGCAACACTTGGAATGGATGAGCGTCATATCAATGGGAATAGCTAAGTTGTATCATGGGAGAAGTACAAATATGACAGTCATATCTGCAGTTTGTTTTATTGTGAGACAGTCATAACCTGGGGCTCACCTGTATATAATTTAACCTTGTTTTGAATAAAAACAATTTAAATATTGATTTTTTTAATAATTTTTAATAATCAAAAATAAATTAATTATTTAGCATAAAACAATAATCAACACTGTTATAAAACTACATAAAAAATATATTACATGGCCTTTATATCCTCCTTTTCCAAACAACAGTCCCATGTTCTTACAATCATCCATAATATCTAAAACTCTGGATGCAGGGAGAGGATTTTGAGATTGCTAAAAGAAATTTTTCTTATCAATTTCAAACTTCTTGAATAAATTATTTTTAGAGAATAAAATAATAACTTACCTTATCACTAACTAATTCCACTCCAATCATAAGTCCCTTTCCCCTCACATCTCCAACAATTTCAAATTCATTTCTGAGAGATGATAACTGTTCTAACAAATAAGTACCAACTTGATCACTATTTTCCATCAGTTTCTCTTCTTCAAGTACCTAAAAAATTTATTTTCTGTACTAAATATACAAATATATCAAAATAACTTTTAGTCAAATAATTTTTACACTATTAAAAATAAAATTTATTTGTCTAATAATGCCTTTATTAATATAAAAGTAAAAAAATATAGTTATTTTGTCTGTAATTATTTTTGTATAATTTCAATATGCACAAGCTATATTTTGTATTTATTTTTTAATATAAACAAAATGCAAATATATATTAAATAAATAACTATACATCTATCATTATACAACTGACAACACTATTTCTTTAAGTATAAAAAAAATATCACAGTAAAGAAAGTTTTATATTCAACAATTGAAGCTAAAAGAAAATAAACCATTGAATGTGTACTTAGAATTAATTAACTTGAAGGGCACTGATGCTAAAAACAAATTTTTAAGTTGTGAAACAGATCATTATTTATTTATGAATTAGATGCTTTTTGGTATATATTAGATTCTGTCATCAGTGTTTTCTAGAACTGTCTTTTCCAGAACATTTGTTGGAATTAAAAGGAACTTAATGAAGTTTCATTTAATTCCAACACATCCTTGGTGCCTAACATTTTGTCAGTGAGTATATTTTCTAAAAACTAAATTTTTGAAGTTCTTAAATTTGTTATGAAAAATGCAATGTATTTGTGTTTTTCATTAACTATAGAGGCCACTGCATTTTTACAAAATGGCTACTTTATCTGGGTCGCTTGTAACCAGTAATGTAAAATTAATCATATATTACTGTCCGATATAATGATATATGCTGCCTGTAGCTGTTTATCGAGAAATTTTATAGAAGGAGAACAATTACTGCTAGTGGGACATGTCATTATGTGGTATCAAAACAAATGAGTGGGATCATTCTATACATATTTGTGCCCTTTGTGTTAAAAAAACATTAATGGTATGGATATAAAAATTTAATTAAATTCAGTTATAAAACAGAAGACTAGTGAAACGTCATGCCTTTTTCTTCCAATATCTGTATTAAATCAGAGTTATAGTCTGATTTAATTCTTTTCTTTTTATGATTGACTTCTAAAATTGTGAAGGGTTGGTAAGAGGCCTTACAGAGTTCAGCTTAGAGCTTCAAAATGCTTAAATCCAACCCTGTGTCCTACACAAAATTACTGGAATTTTAAATTTTAAGAAAATATGTTTTAAAATTGACAGCATAACTTCATGTAAAGCTGGACAATTGGGAAACTGCCAATTCTTAACAATCTAATCCACTCTTTCAGAATTTGTAAATATAACCGATCAATTTCCAAATAAATTATCTGTTTTTCCTGTTTTTCATGTGGGAATAGATGAAAACTTTTATCAGGCTCCCGTAATGCTTTGAAATTGCAATTTGGAACCAACAGAAAGCTTTGTAATTTCAATCACTATTCATCTTTACTGCTGATAATACACAAGAATGAATCAAACTATCTAGATAGAATACAGTAAAGCATCGATGGTCGGATAATTGAAAAGTCAGATAACCAAAAAGTATGAAAAAATCCATTATTAGTGTAGTATATTATTATATCCCATGTAATTAGTATATTAGTATATCGCTATTAACCTAATTTGCGTTTGAATTTTCCTCCATGTTAAGCCTATCAAATTTTTTAAAAAAATAATAATTGTTGCAATTGTATCATTAAAAATTAGAAAATTAAGCCTTGTTTAAATACTGGCTCCCTTTCATGGTCGATCCAGTGTTGCCAGCTAAAACACGTAAAAATAATATTGAAGTAGCCAAGACATAGCCAAATATTGTAGCGCCACATCACTAGCGGACATTTGAATTTGCCAACTAGAATGCGGTCGGTTAACCGAGGTAACGGTTAATCGGGGGTCGGATAATCGATGCTCTACTGTAGTTTTGTTTTTAATTAACACCAGAGTGAAAAATGCAAATTCCAATTTCCCAACAGAAAATATCAGTTCTTGAATATAATTATAGTAACTATCTGATTGAATAATATCATATATTAACTTTAAAACATATAGAATTACATCAAGCACTGCAGATCCAACAGCAGAAGCTACAGGATTACCACCAAATGTGTTAAAAAATAATCTTTCAGTTAATGATTTTGCTATTTTTGGTGTTGTAACTACAGCTGCAAGAGGGTATCCATTTCCTACTCCTTTGGCCAATGTCACTATTATAAAAATTAAAAATTTGTTAATATATTATGGAGAATTAAATCAACAAATTTGAATCACACTAAAAGAAATTCTTAATAGTAAAATTGATCAATAAGTTACTTTAAAAATTTTCTAATAAAATACTTCTGGAAATGGTATTTGGAAATTTTTATAATTTTAAAATTATAAAAATTATTAGATATTTTAAATTGGATGCATTTTGAAGATGTTTTAAAAATATTAAATAATTAAATGAATTAAACTTCCTGAAAAGTTTTCTTAAATTTATGATTGTTGAATTTATTTCATTTGTTTTCATATAAGAAAAATTTACTAACCTATATCTGGCATTACATCATGAGCTTGAAATCCCCAAAAATGTTTTCCAGTTCTTCCAAAACCAGTCTGAACCTATGAAAAATTTTCTATTTTTTATTTAAAATATATATGTTATACTTACAAGTTAGAAAATAAAATATTCAGTCTCAGAACAAAAAAAGATTATTGATGTATTTTTTCTTGATTAAGCAGACATTGTCTTCTTTGGTCAATAAACAAAATTATCCTAATCTTTTCTCAAAATCTCTGTTAAACTGAACAATAAACAATGCAAATGAATTGCCATACATTTCTTATATATTACATTTAAAAATACTATACTTATATTCAGTGCCACTGATTTGTAGTATTTATAACTTCTGACCTTGAACTTGCTAAACCAGATTTTTCACAACTTTATTTTTTTAGACAGTAATCTGATATCCACATCAAACATTGGTAGATGCTGACACTTCTCCCTTTCATAATGGAAGAAGCATTAATTAAGAAGGAAAAAATTATAGAAGGAACTTAAATCAAGGAATTTCATGTCAGGAAAATTAGCAAATATACTGCTTGGAAGCCTGAATAGCTTAATAGATATCATTTGCTTAGCTCAGAGTAGTTATGGTTTTGAGTTCTAGGCCAGATCTTTTCTCCTATATCTCTTAAACTATTTACAGGCATCCCTCACATAACACTGAAGTTATGTTCCAAAAAAAGTGCCATGTTATGAGAATCTGTGCTATATAAAACAGAAGAGTAGTGCAAAATATAGGGTTAAGTTCCAAAAGTTAACAAAAGTACACTATACTATTCTTTTTTGTTACTAAGAGAAATATGTTTATTAAAACAATCAATAATTAACTGACACAATTAAAAGTACTGTATTATGATACAGTACTTTTAATTGTGCTTGTCATTTTAATTTGATTTAATTATGATTGTCATTGTCATTTTTATGGATAACAAAATAAAAATACATTATTAATCAAAAATTTATTCTAAAGGTTTGTCCAGTCACATTTGTCCAGTCAAGTACTGAAGCAACTTTTTTCCAGAATTTGTGTTCAAATACTGAATTATTCAAGTTAGGAACAGTTCAAGTACTGAATACTGCTGTATTTTGTTCTTTCATTTTAACAAATAACTGCTTACCTGTGGTTAAAAAAAAGTTTAATAACGCTTACCTGAAAATACTTAAATAAACTTCACTAAATACAAAGATTAATCTTTAAAAACAAGTGACAGTCTTAAAGACTAAAGTCTAAAAGCAACAACAACAACAACTGATTGATAGAAAAGCTAGGAGAAAGAAAAAATTGCACTATGTCTGACAAAAATCACATACTGAAGATTTCAATATTATAAAATCCGTGCGAAAATTTAAGATAACAGGCATGCTTTCTTGAATAAAAAAATATTAAATAACAGAGTTTGCACTTAAAAACTGTGAAATTTTGTACAAAGCATTTCCCCAATTTTTGAACTGTGTTAGAGCAAAACAGTACAGTTGACCTCCCTATAACACAGTAGATACATTCCGTTCTTTATGAAATTGATGTTCTAAGAATCCTTGAATATATGAGCCAATCACAGCCCGGCACGTATGCAGTTTATGAACTATGACTGTTTGAAAGGTTTTCTTCCATAAAATTAATCGATTCTAGACTAATTCGACTCAACATTCCCAAAATATGTATAATTTTTTGGGAATAATCCATATAAACTATGCTATAAACAAAAAATCGTAAGATTACTTACCGAGTGTGCACCATTCGACAACGCCATTGCTTAAGCTTGTTTTCGTTGTGGAGATTGTGATCGAATGGCACTCGTGTGCTTCCTGATAAATTACTTTTTTTGCAAAAAATTCACTGAACTTTAGAGACATCATTAATATAAATATAATTTTTATGGACGTTAAATAATAAATGGTTTTTGGTAGGTCCACTGCTCGTTTAAACTCAACAGTTTGTACAATATGGTCTAGGTTCGACCAATCCTGTCGCGACACGAGTCGGTGATGACGTCTTACCGAATTATACGAGTTTTTTTAGCATATCTGTACGAATACTGTCGCAATTTTTTCGCCATGATTTGGAATCTGAACTATAGGAACCCATGTTATAGGGGGGTCAACTGTATTGTAGAAGTGCCAAGGGACACCTGTAGTTATTAATTTCTAATTACTGTACCAAGTTTAGTACATGGGGGTGTTAAACACTTATCTAAAACAAATTCTGTTAATTAATTATCATACAAAAATAGTTGTATAATTATGACAATTCTTTGGCCATTTCTAATTTTTGTTATATATTCTTTCATAAAAGAAAGTTGCATATTGATTTTTTAAAAACTGCTAGGTATTTTAAAATATGTGAAAATTTTATAATGAATATCTTTCATACACAGAAAAGTCTCCAATCCTAAGAGATCGTCTGCTAAATTCATGTCTTACTATATATCAAGTCACAAGTTATTTTTCCTGATCTATATGTAATTATTATTAATAAATAAAATAAAAACTAGTACTTTGATCAGTTAATGCTTATGGCTAGGACCACATAGTAAGTGGTATAGAGAGACCTGGCCAATTATTACACATCTACGTGTTAAATAATTTTTACAAACTTCGAAATCACTTACTGGAGTTTAATTTGTTAGAAGAATGACTAAATATATTTGTAAATGTAGTTTTCTTATCATTCATCAAAATTATGATTTAATAAATAAATAAAAGCATAAAATTTTTGCTATTCTTTTCAATTGTTTTGAATGTTGTTGGTAGGACATTTCTATTATTTTTAAGACATTTACAAGATGATTTCAATTTTTTTCCTCCCTTTCTCTCTCTCTCTTGCTCTTAAATCTTTTCCTTTTTATTCTTCTGTATCTTTTTCTACTATAATTTTTATATTAAGTGCATCAAGTTGAAATTTGAAAAAGTTTAACTTGCTATTTTATTCTGTAAGTTATGTAAAACTTTCAGTTCATTATTTAATTACAAAAACTTTTTATTGTTATAAGCATGTTAAAGAAATAAATTTTCATTTTATTTCATTTTTTTTACCTTTTGGTTTTTCAGGTTTTTCAGAGTGGTAGGCCTTACCACTTCACCAAGTGGTAAGGCCTACAACTCTGAAAAACCTGAGATCAAACTCAGACAGGTCCAAAAATTCCAGGAATTTATTGGGGTGACCTATCCTGGATATATCAGACTCCATCTCTTACATACAAATAATGTGTGGCCACCAGGTGACACTATTGTGGCCTGGTCAAACTTATGACAGACTTGAGAAAAGACTCTCTTATTGCCCACAGGATGGAAAATCAAAAATAAAATCTTTCTTCTTTCTCATTCTTTTATTTATTATTTAAATTTATGTTTTTTTTAAAAAAAAAATAAGGAAATAGCTTTAAAATAATTAAAATAGATTATTATAGGTAAAATCTGTAGCTAAATTTATTTTGTTATAAAATTTAAGTTTGTTATTTAAAATTGCTTTTTAAAAAATTCTTTACAATAATAATACATAATAAATTAAGTAAAAATAAACTTTTAATTTAAGTGATGATTTTAGAATAAATATGCTGAAAGAAATTACCTCATCAGATATGCAGAGTCCACCTTGTTCTCGAACCAATTCAAATGCTTTCTTTAAATAATTTTTTGTGAATTGTACTGCTCCTCCAACTCCCTGGAAGTATCAAGATATTAAAATATTGAAACTAACTTAAATATCTCTCTAAAAGCAATTCTATAAAATTCAATAAACCAAAGCTTTATCTGATAGTCAATCAAATATCAGATCCATACTGTAAATAATAATAATAAACCATTAAGTAATTTCTAAAATTTAAATTCTAAGGGTTTCTAAAATTATTCCTTTCTTATATAACATGAGATCTGTGTTAACTGGCTTCAGTGAGTATCAACTTCTAGCATTTGCTAGAATTGCCAAATGGCCAGTCTGGCCCTGAAAAAATAAAGAAACTTGAAAAATTAAATAATGGTTTCAACAGAAAAGGATAGGATAGTTAAGTGTAAAGGACAAATTATTTCCATAATACCAAGAACACAGCTATATAATAACTATGCTTTATACATAATCTTTAATAACTTTTTAACCTCATAACTCATTACATTCATATCCACTGTGGGTTTAGTCAAGCTCCCATTGGAAATTGACAAGTGGTGAGGGATGGGATCTCACATATCCAGAACAAAAGTTTGGGGTTTTTCAACTACCCACATTCAATCTAGATCATCAAAGTGGTAGGCTGATACTTTATTCATTTTAGCCATTCTATATTTGTATTTAGAATAAGTTATAATGTTATTCTACATTTAAAAAACTGTTTTTAATTAAAATCTAAATTTAATAACAGATTTTTTTCATTATGACATCAAGTTGTAAAAATCTTTATTCTTTTTAAATCTATCTTATATTATTTAATTTTTATTGTATAAAATCCAAACATGGTTGTCTCATAAAAAGTTCTTAGCAGGAAATCATAGAAAAAGCATAAATTATATTTCTTTACATTTAAAATGAGTATAACAAAAATAACAGAAATAAAAATAGAGTATAGTATATAAAATTACATCTCTACTGTGTAATGAACTGCTGTTCTCAAATTTCACTAAAATTATTTTGCTAAGAGTAACTGAATAATTGTACATATTGATTCTTGTTAAGCAAATTCATAAATAAGAAAAATAAAACAGTTTGCAGTAAAGAAATCTTCAATATGAATCAGGAATTTACAAAATCAAAAATAAAATATAAAATTCACATGTTATGTAATATTTTATTTTTCCTGTTTACGATTTTCCAAAATTATCTTTTGTCAAATTCTATATTTATACCTGAATACTTTCTGCAAAAAATCCAGCAACTTTCTTTTGTGGAAGTGAATACTGAAGAACTTCTTGAAGCTGTTCAGCATATAAATCAGAAGCTTTACAAATACCTGGTTTACAATCACATTTCTTTTGAGTTTGAACAGGTGAATCTCTACAATGTGATCCTCCCCATTTTCCTCGATATGGATCAGGATTCATAGCCTTTACAAAATAAAAAATACATTATTAAATAAGGTATATATTGTATAGCATTTTAAATTTAAACATACTTATGAGCTAAAATAAGTGAAAAATAAAATATAAAAATAATAAAAAAATAGTCTGATCAATTTTATAACTTTTACAAATATAATTATTAGTTACACTATGTTTTTGAGATGAATAAATATTCTACTCATTCAAACTCATTCATACTATTCATTCAAAAGTCTACTACCATAACTTACACAAAATACATATATTAATATATATGTAGAATCAAAAATAAACCTAAGTTATATTAAAACTTTTATTATATTAATAGTATCAGTATTTATACAAGGGCTGTTTTTTTTCCAAGCTCCGATGGTCCATAAAACAAAAACAAATGTAAGTAAAAAAATGAATTTATTACCAAAAGTTAGGTACAAACATGGTTACTTTTCAACATAAAGATTGAGGCATTTGTCATATCTGTGGATGAGCTTTTCCATCCCTTTGTCATAGAACATTGCTGCCATGAATTGAGATGGCCTTAACAATGTTGTTTTGAAGATCATCTTTAGTTCATTAGTCTCAAACCTCTACCTGCTAGTCACGTTTTCAGTTCAGGAAAGAGGTAGAAGTCTTCCACATTAAAAAGTTTTAAGCTGGGTGGAAATCTGAAAGGTGGAAGTCTTCACCACCTTCTTTAAACACTCAGCGTATAACCCCGATTTAGCACTGAGTGACTTCCACCTCTTTCCTGAACAGGAAAAGTGGCTAGGAGGGCTTGAGACTAATGACAATCTTCAAAAAAAAACATTAGGGCCCATCTCAAGTTATTGGTGGCAGCATTCTATGACAAGGGGACGGAAAAGCTCATCCACCAATCTTCACAGTGATTATGTCGAAAAGTAACCATGTTTGTACCTAACTTTTGGTAATAAATTCAAATTCATTTTGTTACTTACATTTGTCTTTGTTTTATAAACCATTGGAAGTTGAAAGAAAAAAAAAAACAGCTTACATAGAAGTCCACCTTCAAAATAAGTAGCTTCTATAGCTACATACTACTGTCAATGTTCATACCATTTATTAAAACAAAGTTTTGCAACCCATTCTGTTACCTCCTTCAGTGCAATAGTCACAGTGCTTTTTACATGTTTTGCCAATTTGAATCTATGGTCCTTCAACAGAGTTTTCATTTTAGTCTTGCTAGATATTGTGAAGTTCCAGACCAAGTCCAAATCTGTTATTAATTTTATAGAAATGTTAAATGATTGAACAAGAAATTGTAATAAAAACAGATGTGACACAAAGATGAACAAGCAAGTCCTGAGTACAACTCTGATGTATGTTAAGTTATCAATCATCATCAAGCCAGAGAGTTTGAACTTAGACACTAATGCTCTTATAACATAATCTAGGTTAAATCAAATTGAAGAGAAGAAGAAATTTGACGGTAAAGGGAAAACATCGCAATAGATCATTAGCATTCTAAACTGACAAGCAAAAGAAAGAAATAACAGGTTAAATTATGAGCGCAGGTTTCTTAGTTCCATCAACATCTCCCAATCAGAGTCTAGGAAAAGCGACAAGTCCTTTTGAATCTGTCAAGATAAAATTTTTTCTATCTTGTGTAGTGGCTAATTTCCATGTCAAAGAAATGAATTTATTCTGTGGACTCTACAAGAAACACTAAGATTTATCACCAATAATCACTCTTTAGACTTCAACTAATCAACAGAATTGATAAAGAGTTAAGTGTATGTTCTGCATGTTGTTCATCTGTTAACTTCCTCAGAATAACATGAAAACAGACCCAATGTATTTTCAAGTCATAGGCATATACAGAACCATTTGATATTACCAAAATGTTGGCCAGATCATTTATTGTCTACAATATTTTTTGATCTCTTTCAATTTTTGGAAATAATTTTTGTTTCTTGCTGAAGCTGGCTTACCTATCATCCTCTGTTAATTCAGTTTTCTATAAAATGCTTGTCATTTGTACTTGTGTGCTTACAGTTACACTGTTAACATACATGTTAACTGCATACACGTTACACTTGTGTACAAGACAGTGTCATTATCAATGGTTTCTTATGGAATAATACCATTCCTCTATAAAATTATTATTAAATATGTACTAGATGAAATTTATGAACTTAATTATAATATTAGTGTTAAAATTTTAAAAATAAAATTTATAAATTCATAAGTAAATATCAATGTTAACAACAAATTGTAGTTAGTTCATATTTGCAGATTTTAGAAAATAAAGTTTAAATTCATTTTCATATAAAACATGTGAATCATAAAATTTCACAATAAGTTTTTCCTCAACAACAACATATGCAAACAGTTATAAGTTTATTATTCTGATGTTTTTTTAACACTTTTCATTTGTCACCAGATTATTAATATTACTCTATATTATTATTATTATTATTTTACAGCATATAAGACATACCCCATTTCAACACAGAATATTTACGAAAAAAATATTTTTGTGTATTTAAGCCATCCTGATCTTGGCACACAATTTTAAAATTTTTTATATTTTTAATAAAAAGGTAAAATTAAACCGCACACTTTTATTTATTAGAGAAATTGAAGAGTTTAAAAGAAGTCATTTACAATTACAATATTCTACATGAAATACATACTACAAAAATGCTTAGCTATAGCAAAAAAGTTTTACAATTATAAGTACTTACATGAAGAATTCCAAAACCTTGTGGCAGTGGATATTTCCATGCAGGTAGTGCAGTTAGTCCCTGAGTATGCGGAGTGCATCCATGATATGCATTTCTAATTTTTAAATATCAATGCTTTATTTGTAATGTAAAAGTCTAATAATTTTAATAAATGTTAAAAGAGTTTTACCTCAAAGATATAACATCAAATGCATTAGTGTATAAACGTGCCATTAATACTGCCAAGTCATTTGCCTCTGATCCACTATTACAGAAAAAGCACACCTGAAAGCAGTTAGAGATTTCTAAAAAAAGTCATCATTTTCTGTAAAAACAAAATTTTAAAGAAATGACTGATTTATAATTGTTATGAGACAGAAATTTAAATTAATGATTATTATATCAGTGCATTCTGTAATTCAAAACTATGTATATACTGTAATTTGTATATACAAGTTAACCTAACCAGAGTAATTTGTTTTCTAGATCAATAAACTAGATCCCTAGCATAAAAATATATTGTATGTTCTTGCCTTTATTTTAAAGCGTCAACTAAAATTAATGTATTAATTAATAAATAATGAATATTGGTATAATTTTCTAGAATATCTATTCTCAACTTTTACTTTTCAATGTCATGTAAAATTTTAAAAATTTCCTAAATATTTTCAATGGCTCATTTTCAAATTTAAACATCTTACCAGCAGATTTGAATTTGGTTAATAAATTCATTATCCTGCTCTATGTTCAAATTGTTATTCTTTAACTTATTGATCTAATGTCTCATTATAAATGATCTAATTGACTTATAATGTCTCAGAAAATAAATAAATTTATGATTCCTTGAACTGTTCAGTATCTTCATGACTTTTACAATATCTTAAAAATAGTTTTCAAAAAGAAAATACAGTGGTGCCTTGTATAATGTACTTAATCCGTTCCAGGTGCATGTCCGTTAAGTGAAAAGTCCGTTATACGAAACGCATTTTCCCATAGAAATACATGTTAAAACATATAATTCGTTCCGCAGCATAAAATAACCGTACTGTACCATAAAAAAAATGAAAATGGAGCAGTCACCAATTATGCCAGGTAGTCAGATGTTGTGAGGAGGAGGTGGAGGAGCACTTGTGGCGCCCATCGGCAACGGGCCAATTCAGACAATAGAGGGTGCAAAGAAAGGGAAAAAGTGAACTTTGAACTGGTCACCCACTTTCCGACCAACAACTACTGGGAACGGACATTAGAACAAGCAGTCAGCACAACTTTAAACTTTGATCAATGTTGGGCTGTAAATACGTTGTATTGTACATTATTGTATATATTCGTGAATAAAGAAAGGGATATTAAATTCTGACTGGACGTATTCTCATCAATATCGAGTAATTCACATAGGGGATTGAACCCCAAACACTTTATTTACACATTCATACAGATACAGACTTTTTACACATTGCAGCAGGTCTTGTTTTATTGTTTTTTAATCGGAGTCAGATTCAGGAGAGGCTACTGGGGCTTGCAGGGTCAATTCCTCTTGTTCCATCCTTTGTCTTTTGGCAGCTGGCTTCTTGAAAAACATGTCCAAAGTGATCTGTTTCTCTCTCTTCTTCAACACCTGTCGGAAATGACGGGCAAGGGTGTCATTGTAGAGATCATTGATCTTGTTGGCCTCAACTGTGTTTGGATAACGAGTGTTAGTAAACTCCTGAACCTCTCCCCATTTGACAAGGAAGTTTCTGTTAAATTTCACTCCTTCTGATGATTTCTTGCTTTGTTTCAATTGAAATCACGTTTCTGTTTTTTTAGAAGCCATGATTTGCACAACACTTGAATAAATGTAAATACCCTGCACTGAGGTGATGTATGTAATAAACAAGGGAGCAAGTCGAATCTCAATGGGAGCTCTGTACTTCAGATATACTAATAATATATTCTAATAATACTAATATATTAGCAGATTGCCATTGGCAACCACAAAAGAGTGGAAACATCATTTGCACTTGTTCGTAGAAAGTCCATTGGTCGCCTCACGTAACTGCCGAACGGAAAGTCCGTTGTCCGCAGCCAGTCCGTTGCTCGAGTCACGTAACGG